CGCAGCACCATCTACGACCTGCTCGCTAGTCATGGCGACGTGGACAACATGGTGTATTTCTCGGTCATCATGCAAGATTACGAGCGTGTCATTTCTCATTACTGCCAGCATGACGACTACAGCGCAGCTTTAGATGTTCTCTCCAAACACTGTGACGACAAGCTCTTCTACAAGTTCTCCCCAGTCCTCATGCAGCACATCCCCAAAAAGGTGGTCGATGCATGGATTCAGATGGGAAACCGGTTGGATCCGAAGAATCTGATCCCAGCGCTTGTGAACTACAGCCAGATGGGCAGCATGCAGCAGATAAATGAGACCATCCGGTACATGGAGTTCTGTGTGTATGAGCTGGACGTCAAAGAAGAGGCCATTCACAATTACCTACTCTCGCTTTATGCCAAACACAAGCCAGACGCTCTGTTGTGGTACCTCGAACAAGCCGGAACTCACGTCTCCGATATTCATTATGACTTGAAATATGCCTTGCGCCTTTGCTCCGAACATGGATACCTGCAGGCCTGCGTCTTGGTTTACAAGATTATGGAGCTGTATGAGGAAGCTGTGGATCTTGCTCTAAAAGTATGTTCGCTTTGACATTTTTGACACATTTATTATGTTTTATATTTTAAACCCAGAGTACGCTTTGTTGTTTAACATGCAAAACATTCTTCAACATCTGCTTCTATAGGGTATGTGCAGAGCTAGTGTTTCTTCCCATACTGATCAGATTCTGGTAAAACGTTAATGTGACTTTTCTAAATTTTATACGGTTCCTTTTACAGCATCGATGTTGTAAAGTATTTAAAATATAATCAGTTAAATAGACTTTAGCATTCATTTAGTTGTTCAAGCATAAAACAAGATTAAAAGCCGTCAGGGTTAGCAGGCTAGCGCAGAAACTTCATTAAATATACGGGGTAAAATAAATGTTCCTATTTTAAAGACATGACATGAAAAAATGTAATTGAATGCACCCACTTTCTATCGTATTGTAAATCAATCAGACGGTGAAGATCATTGATTTTTCAAGAAAACAGACATTAAACATGTCAATTTTGTAACTGCATACTGTTCACCAGAAGCGCTTGATCCAGGCTACTGAAAATACTTAAAAGTCCTTCCGCAGACCTATGCATATACCCTTGTGGTTTTGCCTTCTCCGGTGCTTTGTTGTTGTTCTTGTTCTGTTTTTGACTGTAAAAAACAATGGCCTTGTCCGATGTTGCCACCATGTGGACAGACAATGTAGTATAAAATACAATTCAAAACTACTGTTTTGTATTGTCTAATACTTGTATGTATATATGTCAAATAACATGGCACCAGCAAAAAAAATGTAATGCCAAAATATTTTTTTATTCTTTTTTTATTATTAAGTTTGTACAATTAAATACAAATGTAAATATATTTTTAAATGTAACATAATAATAATAATAATACATACACACTTCAAAATATATATTTAAAATAAAAAGAAAATGTACATATTTCTTATGGTTATTCCTCAAAACACTTTGAGTAATTCAATTAAAACAATTCTTTAAAATATTAAAAAAATATGTCTGAAATCCTAGATTATATTTCTGAAAGATTTCTGTATATGTTGAATATAAAAAAAGTATCATGAACTTCCTTACGAGTTACAAGCTAGGAATCATTTACAGTTAGCATGACTAATTTCTTTGCAGAATAGAATGTAACCAATATTTTAACTATCAATATTTGGTGAAATTACCCCAATTTTCAATCACAAATGAAGACATGAATCCTGTAATATAATTTCATTCATTTATTCATTTTCGTTTTGGTTTAGTACCTTTATTTATCTGGAGTCGCCACAGCGGAATGAACTGCCAACTTATCCAGCATAATTTTATGCAGCGGATGCCCTTCCAGCTGCAACCCATCACTGGGAAACACCCATACACTCCCATTCACACACATACACTAAGGACAATTTTGCTCACCTATTTCACCTATAGCACATGTCTTTGGACTGTGGGGGAAACCAAAGCACCCGGAAGAACGAACACAGGGAGAACATGCAAACTCCACACAGAAATGCCAACTGAGGCTCGAACTAGCAACCTTCTTGCCACCGTGACGCCATAACATAATTTGTAATATATTTGTCTGTGTATATGACTTTGTTATGGTGGCCACAATATTTTCAAATATAAAATAAAACCTTTGCTTTTCCGTTCAGGTGGATGTGGATTTGGCCAAGTCTTGCGCCGACCTTCCAGAGGACGATGAGGAGTTAAGAAAGAAGCTGTGGCTGAAGATCGCTCGCCATGTAGTGCAGGAGGAGAAGGATGTCAAGAAGGCTATGAACTGCCTGTCCAGTTGCAACCTGCTTAAGATCGAAGACATCTTGCCTTTCTTTCCAGACTTTGTCACAATAGACCACTTCAAGGAGGCGATATGCAGCTCTTTGGAAGAGTACAACAAACACATCGAAGAGCTGAAACAAGAAATGGAGGAGGCCACAGAAAGTGCCAAACGCATCCGCGAAGACATCCAAGAGATGAGGAACAAGTATGGTGTGGTTGAGTCTCAGGAAAAATGCGCTACTTGTGATTTCCCCCTGCTCAACCGACCTTTCTATCTTTTCCTGTGCGGACACATGTTCCATTATGATTGCCTCCTGCAGGAAGTCATTCCTCACCTCTCTGTCTATAAGCAGAATAAATTGGATGAGCTACAGAAGAAACTGGCAGCGACCACGCAGACCACCAAGGCTCGGCACAAGCCTAGAGAGGAGGACACGGTCAGCTTAGGCAAAGGCCAGGGAAGCAGGGAGCAGATCAAATCAGACATTGATGATATTATAGCGTGCGAGTGCGTGTACTGCGGTGAGCTGATGATCAAGTCCATTGACAAGCCGTTCATAGATCCGCAGAAGTTTGATCAAGAGATGTCCAGCTGGCTCTGAAGGAGAGACGCATCTGCTTGAGCTGCACAACACATTTATTATACACATTGTACATTTGCTTAACATGTAACCGGATGTGCATTGTAAAATTTTTACATTCTCGATTAATGAACATTTATATGATTTTGTCAACAAATATGCACTGTACAAGTGTTCTTCGTTGATTTTATGTGTTTGCTTCCTTAGATCAAATTTAAAAATGCACTTGTTTTCATTTTGCATAAAAGTAATGCGAATAATATCTTTTTTATGTGCACAGCTAAGAAGAATAAATGATTGCCTTTTGACTGGATTTTGTGTTATGTTATTATTTAATGGGATTTGAAAGGGTAAGCTAGTTTCTATTACTTCTACTCATAGTACAGAGATAGAATTGGTGTCCCAGTACAAATATCTTGGAATTTTAATTGATGATGCACTTTTTTAAGTTCTTGCATTCAGCAATTAGTGGAAAATTTAAAAGTGATTTTAGGCTTCTATTTTAGAATTAAGAACTGATTTTCTTTTGATGCTAAAATGAAGCTGGTGGATGCAACATTTATATCGATATTGGACAATGGTGATGTTATCTATATGCATGCTTCGTCTCAGAGTCTGCATGCATTTGATACTGTTTACCATGGTCAGTGGTGTAAAGTAACAAATTACAAATATTCAAACTTCTGTAAATGAGTATTTTCTTTCTCAGGACTTTTAATTAAGTTTTAAAAATGTATACTTTTACTTTCCCTTGAATAGATTTTTAGTGCAGTATCTGTACTTTTACTCCATTTCTTTCCTTCAACCTACAGTCACTACTTTATTTTTTGTCTATGGGGATTAGAAAAATCAATCCTTAGATTTCTGTCCAATCATATCACACATAGAGGGTAAATGCCATCATAAACTACCTCAAGACATGGGTGATTTAAAATTGCAGCAAACTGTTTGGAAGCATTAAAAGTGTCCTAGAAAATGTCCAAAATCTTTACACGCATTGACCCAGAAACTGTTTAGATGCATGCTGCAGATGGGATGACAACGGATGTTTACTGTATGATGACCAAAATGGCCCTAAAACCCCAGCAGGCACAGGACGTCAACATGACATCAGATTGTACCCCAACGTTGTGGAAACATTGCATTTTGTAGTGAGCATAAATTATTTGGAAAATGAAACACAGGGTTCTAGATGTTTTGAATAGTTTGTTTGATAATGTGTGACTCGTGTTAACTGTCAATTGTTTTTTTGTTTGTCTGTTAGACCCATGTGATGTATACTGTTTAATCTAGGCAAGGACGCTCTTGTAAAAGAGATTTTTAATCTCGTCTTTCTTGGTACAATAAAGGTTATAATAATAATAGTGATTATTATTATTACTATAAAAGTTCTTGATATTTCGATTAAATTAATTTAATGGAATTCAATTAAATGATATATCAAATCATTAAGACACATACTATGCACAGCCAAATGCAAACAACAAACAAAAATAGAAAATTAAATCACTTGTTTTGTCACGTCAACAGTCATCATAAATTAAAAGTTTAGAATATCTAAAACATAAATAGAAAAAAGAAGAGAAACTAAATATAACGTTACGTAATTTAGCTAAATGCATAATTATAATAATAAAACAAATAAAAAAAACTTGTGACCAAACCTTTCCAATTTTGTTTCTAGATGTAGAAAAGTGAAAATTTTTAAATAGAGCATGATGCAAGCACAATGATTAAGCTGCCTAGAAAATACTCATTTTAATATTGCGTTAGAGCTGTTTATGTTTAACAAGAACACGAGAAATTCTACGTCAAGTCCCAATCACGCGATATTTTGAGGCTACATTCGGAAAGTGTTACGTCATTGGACCTTCGGAAACGCTCGGCTTTTCAAGGCGCAACCAACAGAACTCCGATAGAAGTGATACTTTGCTCTAATAACTCGGTTAAATTTTAACAGGTCGAGTTCACGTCGGTAATTTTTTTTAAACAAAGCTCCTCTTTTCTTTTTGCTGCCTCAACTTTGTTAGGATACCGTCCCAAAACGTGTACATGTTCGTAGCCGTGACTCTATAATTGATTAGTACGCCTGTTCCCCACTCTGTCCTCGCCATGGCGCCGTGTCTCTGCTCTCTCAGTTACTGAAAGTGGCCGCCTCTCTGCTGCTACCGACTCACGGTCTCTCTCCTCGCTCACAAGCGCCATTTTGGAGACAGAGAGCTGCGAGTCGGCTGCAACAGAGACAGAGCGAAAACGGCGGACACGGGGGACAAGGTGAGCTGGCGTTTATGAGGAACATGGTGGGGGAGCAATGGGGGAAGATGGCCGGGAGGGAGAAAGAATTAGAATCTGGGAATCGCCGATCTGCTGGCCTCCTCGACTCCCGCGGCGCATGTAGGCACGAGACGGGGCAGATGGTGCTTGACCTCGTGGAAGAAGGCCACAATATATATATATATAACAAATCAATTAAAATCATATCTCCCTACATTTCATTTGACAAAGAGGTGGTGGCCTTAAAGAGACAGAACACATTTCAATTATTCAAAATTATCAAGAACTTGTCACGATGCAAAATCCTGGTTAAAAAGTCACCTCTGCATGAATATCATTCCAATAGGTAGCTTTTAGCATTCATTTTAAGAAACTCAATAAAGCTTGAGACCTGGCTCAAGTTTACCTTATAATTGCAGCGTTGCTAACTAGCAACATATACAGTAACCCTGGATTTAGATTAACAAGCAGCACTGACTGCTGAGGCGCTTAGCATTAGCTAAACCTAGCCAGCTTAGTGCGCTAGCTAAGCTAAGTCAAATATAAATCACCAACCTGTCGATACAATTGTGTAAACTGACAGTACTTTACCTGTTTTATAACGAGACTGGAGAAACCTTGCGCTGCTTTACATTTTTCTATTTGTATCAAACAATACACTTGTATTTTCTGTGTGCTTTATGTTTGTTATTTGAATTAGTTTTCTACGATTTTAAAAAGTCTCGTTCGATATTTGTGTATTAATGGTTTAACAATAGTTCCTGGGCATCAAAGTCAAACGAGTAACCAAATCATTGATATGAGAATAGTTTTATTAACTGTAACGTTACCTATAGCCATTGCTGAGTGCTAAAATGCATCCAGGAAATGGTTAAAGGGGGGCACCAAAACACTGGAAGTGTCAAGGTTTATGTTTACAGAAATTTGTAAAGGATCGCTAGTAAGTTACTTAAATTAGAGTATTTAAATTCGCTAGTATTGTTTATCATATAAGGTATTGCTATATAATTTACAGTCTGGTGACTATGAAAAGAATAACTAATTGATGCACTTTAATTAAAACCATTCATATAGAATTTTTTTTAAGACAAATCCGTCATCAAATATGGCATGAAAATGAACAGATATAATAAACAGTTGAATCTGCAAGTTGTATTTATAAAGTTGCAATGAAATGGAAGTTTTAGTGTATAATGTGATGCACATTAACCAAATTTTAGGTAAAAATATTGGAAATCCTGCTCCAGCTTCAATGTGATGATTGTTGGTTGGATTATGAGATGTCGGTGTTTCACTCAAAAGTGCAGTCAAATGAAGGCGTTTAAGCAGGATTATTGAGTTTGTCATGTAAAAGATAAATTGTTCTCAATAAAATTCATTAGAGTAGTATTTACTAAATTAACTTAGATATTTAGATTTTATGATATTTTTTGAATGTCATAATTTATTTTACTCTACTTAAAATTAAGTTGTTAATATATTAATAATACCAGAACATTTAGTCAACATAAACGTGTACCACAAATGTATTAAAAAAGAAAAGTTTTAAAAGTACATTTTTTTTGTTAACATCAGATGTCCCCATACAGGGGAAAATATTTGAATTGTTTCCATTACACTCCTCAAAATTGAAAGTCCATTATCGATGTATTTATTTCTGAAACAGGATGACTGGGTAGTACTTTTAATAGGGCTTATCCCTTTGAGAATAAGTTTCATTGCATTAGTACACCAAAAAAACAAGATTTGCTCCCCATTACAGGTGATTTAAGGGGACGTGGCCGTTTTTATGCTAGTGAGCATTTGACTGGATAAAAATGTATGCAGTGCTAGATGAGTCATCAGCAGGGCCAGACAAAATCTGTGGACATTTATTTGGTATTTCTGTGCAGAATTTTGTACATAAACCTGCAGATGTATGTGTATGGTTTTTGAGAGCATAAAAATTACACACTTGATCTAATTTAAATAAAATATTTTTTTACTTTTATTTAAGGTTTTTCAAACCACTTGTTTGGTAAATAATTAAAGTCTCATATAAAATATCTACCAATAGACTAACTGTACATGAATCATAAACATTTGCATATTATTCAATAATATCACTGAAATTAATAAAAAAATAAATAAATATGTATTTACACACATTTACTGTACAAAAGTAAATAATTAGCTTGACTGATGGACTCAGAAATCTGCACACGTAGATTTCATGTTGGCCTAGTCATCTGTATTACAGCAGTGTAAATGTGATCTCATAGGCCAGGAGACTAATTTGCCACTAGTTCAGTTGGAATTGTCCTATGGGTTTTTAAAATAGAATTTTTCAATTATTGAGTTAAATCAGTTCAGTGATTATGTAACTTGACAATACTAGTATGCAAACTTAAAAGCAATTTAGTTTATTTCTAAAATCTAATTTTTGGAGACCTTATTTAAATCGTGAAGTGAAGCAGCACTCATATTTACTTATTAAATACAAGTGTCTGTAAAAGTCTGTATTTTAAACATGAATATAACAGTACATTTCATCAATCATATAAACAGCCTCAACAGACACACTGTTTTAAAGTAAATTTGTAAAATGTATATTTAGCAAGAATGTGTTGTATTAAATTATTAAATGTTTGTAAAATATTGTATGTAATTAACAATTTTCTACAAAAAAGGTTAGCAACATTTTTAATATTCAAATCTTATTGACCCTAAATTTTTGAAAGCTAGTTTGCACATCTGAAAAGTCCAGAACAAGCGATGGCATTATAAGCTTGTGAGTAACTGATTCTGAGCTTCACAATGTAGTTATCATGTTGACTAGCATGCCTGGTGCCATGCAGTGGGCACATCATCTTACTGGGACAATAAATAAATAAATTTCTACATCTACTGTACGATATCAATAACCATATCATGTTAAACTCAATTCACTTCTGTCTCTTTTAGCCACTTTCAGTATTCAGCATGCATATGCATTTTGTTTCTGATTCTCCATTGTCTGTTGCTATGAATTATTTTAATTAATTTCTGAATACCTAATATGCAGTCTTTTTATTACAAATTATGGCATAATTCGATGTCAAGTGCTCTTCAGTTTCAGACTCATCATTTGTTAGACATTATTTATTTATTTATTTTACGTCTCTTTTTCATATGGTCTTTACAGTGATCGCCCTCCGCCGGGCGCCAAACCTCTACCTATGGCCTCAGGGCAGGATGGCGTGGGAAACGCCACATGCTCAAAGTTGGCCAAACCACTTCACCTGCAGTACCTGGAGCGATCCCTCCGTCTAGACACCTTTCTTAGGCAGACTGCTACAGTTTTTAACCAGAACATTTCCAGGTAATTCAGTCCTCTTTGGCCTTCTGTCTTTTGAGTCACAGTATGACTATCATCCATGACTCTACAAAATCCTTTACACTGTTATGGCCAAACTCTGTTAAAGAAATTGTTCACCCAAAAATGATCGTTTATTCTCTCTTCACTAGTTTCTGTCTTATTAAATCTTTTAAATAAAGCTGGAAAGCTGTAACCGTTGACTTCCATTATATTTCTTTTTCTTGCTATGGATATAAATGGTTAAGTGTTTCAGCTTTGCTCAAATCTTCTTTTGAGTTCAACAGAAGAAAGAAACTCAGAAAACACTTGAGGGTGAGCAAATAGTGAATAAACTTTTATTTTTGGGTGATCTATTCTTTCACACTTGAAAATGTGCTTTCACACTTGAAAATGTTAACTCCTGGACATTCTCAACATGAGGCAAACATAATTCTGGGTTGTCTTGTTTCATGTTTTACAGTTCTTTTCATTTACTCAGGATAAACACAGATTCAAACTGTATAATTTTATATTTTTGAACCCCAGTTTAACATGGTTATTTGCATATTTCCTGTGTCAGTGTCTTTTATTGGTTGAGCACAGTAGTTTACACACTGTACCATTTTGCATCCTCAAATATGGCCAGCTCAACTGTAAAATTGATTCGGTAATGGCCGTTTCCCAACAGTAAAGCTCCAGCCTCCTCTCCAGTTGTCGCATTGACTCAAACACTGAAACATGCTGATTATGTAATGTGCTGTGTTTATTTTATTGTTTAAAGCATGTGATTTTTCTGTCAGTTGCTAAGTGTTTAGTCATAACACTGTACAGCACGTCATTTCACATGGCACATTTGTCACCACAATGCAGGATTAACAACACAACAAAAGTGGTGCTAAAACTGCTCCGGAACAGGGTTTCATAACCCCAGGTAAAAAGCAACGCTAACCCCATTTCTAAATTACAAATATGAAACATTCCTTTAACCAGAATGTAAAGCATTATTTAGATGAATGACAACCCAGGGTTTAATGCAGTGTTATAAGGCTTTTTTTGGCTTTATTCAGTTGTTAGCTTTAGCATGTTTTTCACTACTCCCCATACGTCCTACATCAAGTAGCTAATGGTAGCTGTTTTGTAGGAGTTTGCTAATGAGGCCTGTGGTTGTTTGTTTAAGGTTGTGTTTGTGTGTTTACGCTACAGCGATGACAGTGATGATGGTTTGGGCGAGGGGTCTTCTTTGGCCTCGTCTAACCCACTGCTGGCAGTGAAAAAAGATCACATCAGCCCTGAGGACGAGACCAAGGACTCCTGCAGAGATGGAGAGACGGAGTGTGGCACTCTTAATGGAGCTGTGCTACAAGGTAAAGACAATAACAAACAGACACGTGGAATGCCTGACCTCTTTTTTAAAAGTTTACTTTGCATATATATATATATATATATATATATATATATATATATATATATATATATATATTTTTTTTTTTTTTTTTTGCTGTTTGGGACTTTTCTTGGCATTTTTTAAACTATCTTTTTAAATTTCTCAAATATTTTTACTCTTCAGATACACTCACAATTATAAGCACAAATTCTGTACATCCACTTTCTCTTTTGAAATATATCCTTTTCTTTTTGTGATACAAAACTATGTACATGTAGGGAGTAATCCTTTCAATTTTAGATTAACAGAAAAGTTCAGATCTATGGGATGTTGCATAATTGGTCAATTTTTCTCAGAATTAAATAAATTGTTCCATTTTCAGATTTACAAATGTGGTAATTTGTTCCATTTTATAAATTCTCATTTTGATTTCTATTCATGCATCTAGGGTTGGGCTTTCTTATGACAATATTTTTTTTTTTAGTATTTCTCTTTTTGACAGCCACCAACAAGATATTCATTAGATACTTACAGTGCTCAGTATAAATGAGTTCACCCCATTTTTCCTATACTGCATATAGGCAATGTATTTTGGTGCATTGAAGCAAAACTGATTTATTAAACAGAAAATAATATTTTAGTCACCAAACATATTTATAAATTGAAAGATAATACAATTAAATTAAAGCAAAATATTGAAATTATTTTTTTTCCATTTTTTTAAATATTTATTACATTTTTTTCTATAGCATATAAATTTGGGTGTACTAGTTTTTGGGCTGTTATCAAAAGGTATTTTGTTAGATAAGCTCCAGATTTGGCTTCAATACTGACTCTAATGTATATGCACAAATATAATATAGTATAGCTTCATATTAAAAATATGAATTTAAAAGATAGATTTGTGAGGGGTGTACTTGTATATGCTGAGCACTGTATGCCTTTAAAAACATTCCTCAGGTATATGTCCAAAAATAGAATTTTACAATCAAAGGGTATCACAGATTCAAAGATATTTTGTAAGCACGTATGTTTATTTCTTTACAATATTTTTTATTAACTAAGCAGTCCCAGAAAATGTGATAGTTATTCGCCTTTTCTTTTCCGCATTTTCTCCAGCATTTAGACGAATTTCCAGCGTGATATAATTTCTGGGAGGGTGTGATTTATTTTCTTGGCATTTGATAGCATGGATATAGTTTTAAGTAAATTTTATTTTATGAAGTGTTTGGCTTAACATGGCATCTCTATGAGGATTCCAGTGAGCTAATGAATTAAAACATTTTTGTTGAGATGTACTCTTTCTTTCTTTATGAAAATGAATAAAATTAACTTTCCTAACTGTCACACACAGAGCACAAAGCTGACAAGGCCAGCCTATATAACTTCTCCAGACTGAAGAAAAGTAGGAAATGGCTGAAGGTATGTATAAATAAAAACCAATTGAAACCTGTTTATACCTTAGGAGTTAAACATAAAACTAGTAATTTTTTTTTATATAATTGTAATATAATTTTTAAGTTAACCTTAACCTTTCTGATTTTGATTGTAATGTATTAATGTGCACCTTTTGTACAGCTGCTTTGAAACAATAATTATTGTTACCTTCATAGAAATGTTCTCTTTTTTGAGTTAATGAAAAATGTGTGGAACAACAGATGAGCAAAAAGGACAAACTAGATGTCAGCTTTTTAATATATGATTCCGCACTAAAGCTACATGTAGGTGACCAGAAGGTTGTGTTTATGAATTTATTGACACAAAGCATTTGACTGTTTTCAGAAAGACCCCAGCAAACTATTTTGTGTCGACTGTGAAATCATATTTTAAACTTTATGGCTTGTTTCCACTGACTGGTACAGTTTGGGTCGGTACGGGTCACCTTTATGACCCTTGCATTTCCACTACCAAGGGTACCCTTTTGGTGGGCATGGTATATGACAGAAAGTTTGAGTCGCATAATTCTCGCATGAGGAAATGCCTAAAGTAAAACTTTTCTTTGAACATGATTTGATTATAACTGCGGATCAATGCAAAATAGCCTACTGTAACGTCTGTAATTATATAAAATAAATAAGTAAATGAACATATATGAACACATACAGACCCTTACAGTCTCCGATATGTTACAGACTACAGAAAAACTACACACAGCAGACATATTGTCCTTATTTAGGTTCAAAACAGCACAAAATATAGCACACAGTCAGTGAAAATCTCTCATCTGTGTCTGTAATCTCCAGCAGCACATGTAGCCTCTGTTAGAGAGTCATTCCATCATTCCCAGTTCATATTAGTCCAAAAGGTGATGATAAAAATTAAAATTGAAAAATTGTTTGAGCCCGGATCGACCATAGCTCGTTATTATATGTATATATAATTCCGCTGTAATCTCTCGGCTGTGTATTTTAAACATGGCGGGTTTTTTGTTTTCATTCTGGCTTGTTGCGTAAGCGAATGACCTATCTCTGTAAACCAATAGCGTTCAGCTGCGCGTCTAGCTCCGCCATTTCGTACCCTTTCTCGTGTTTGATATCCTTTCGAAAGGGTGCCGAAAAAGTGGTACGGTTCGGTTTGGTACGCCTTTTGACAGTTGAAACGGCCATAAAAGCATACCAAACCGAACCGTACCGTACCGTACCATACCATTCAGTGAAAATGGACCATTAGTTGATGTGTAATGTAGCTGTGTGAACATAAACAACATCTCGGAATAAAATAAGCTCAATGTTCAATGCAAAGGGAGACATTGGATTTTACAGAGTTAGCTTAGCAAAGCCTACAGCGAACGAATTTTGGGGACTACAAAAAAATACATCCGGCTTAGTGAGATCATATGCCGCGTGACGTGCTGTAAGGTTTGTGGCTGGTGAGGCACTGACATTTTCAAAGTCATATTTATAAACATATCCACTTAATATATTTGCCAACTACCGATTGTGTTTCATATGTCATATCAGCATTTTTTTTCTATACACATAGCAGGTACATATTGGGCCAAGGAAGAATGTAAAATGTATAGCGATTAAATATGCCTCCCAAAAAACACACAGCTGGATGCTACAGAGTCCAGATAGCCTATAACAAGCGACACACAGGAACACTATATTGTTAGACCGCACGCTCCCGTTTCAAATTACACTAAAGTTACCGACCGCAACCACGTTTTATTCAGAAATTTATTCCCACGCTGCAAGAGATCTGGTCAGGTTCTGCGGAGGTCGAATGCAGACCTCTACTAGGAAATATGACAAGTTATTCGTTTTCATGTATATAAACAAAGTAAGATATATGAAAAATTACGTAGTTTTTTTACAAATCAATTATGAGCACACATAGCTTTGCACCCCATAAACACAAACATGCCTTAAAAATACACTTTGGACCGCCTCTTAAATAGACGTCGAATAGACAGCTTGACTAAAACAAGGCTAAACTTGGGCTGTCAGTGAAAATCTAATAGACATCTTATGTAGCCCAATGCAAATAGACAGATTAGACAGACTATATATGTGTAGTCATTCATTTCTGTTTATTTGATGACAAGTCTAATTTTGGCCTATTGTTAGACGTCTATTAGATTTTCACTGAAAGCTCAATATAGCCTTGTTTTAGCCAAGACAATTATGTTTAGAAAGCATGAAAGCAGACAGGAATAACATGTTGTCATGTAAATAAATAACATGAGGCTCTTTGTTTAGAAAAAGAACAGTATAGATCTTTTGTGTAAGAAGAAAAGGGGAATCAATGACTCTATTAAGCTTCCTCACACTTCACTGAAGTCTCAAGATGCTTTTTTGTGTGTTTGTGACATACAGCTTATACAGATTTTAATCAATATTCACAAAATCGTAGACAATAAATAATAGACACCCATGGTTTTAATAATGAAATATAAAAGTATGATTTTTTACCTTTCAGGGGGAGCATAAAGAGCTTCAAATTTAATGTCATACATTGTTAATAACAATTGTAAGGATGGATTGTGGCTCTGTTTTATGTCTGGTCGATTGTTTGTGAATCACAGGGCATCTTGCTGAGCGATGACACCACAGACTCAGACAGCGACTCGGATGATTCCGACTTCACAATGACACGGGAAGAGCTCCAGGACATGCTGCGCCTGCACAAGTTCACCAGACTCCACCAGAGCAAGTTTCACTCTGACAGAGAAGTACGACATGCTTAGCTAAACCTCAGATATTCGTCCACACATAAACAGCCTTATGGAAACAGTTGCTCATGTGTGTTTGTGTTCACAGCTGCAGCACTATCAACACTACAGCACAGGCCTGCTGTCCACTCACGATCCTTTCTATGAGCAGCAGCGCCACCTACTGGGCCTGAAGAAAAAGAAAATCAAGGAGGAAAAGAAATGTAAGGGTAAGATTGCCTGAAAAAACAGAGTAGATGATGGTGTTTACTTGTTATTTTTAAACGCTCATCTTTATTCTACTTTTGTAGCCAAGTTAAAAAAGATGAAGAGGAAGAAGAAACGAGGAGAGGAGTTTTCTATGGAAGGAAGGCAACACATTACTAAAACATTTGCCAAGTTTTCCCATGATGCACCACTTCCTATGATCAAAAAGAAGCACTTAACCATTGAGCAGCTAAACGCTCGTAGAAGAAAAGTCTGGCTTACAATTGCCAAAAAAGAAATCCCAAAGGTACAGCAAAAGATTTTTATTCCTCTCCTTGGTCCCTATCATACACCCGGCGCAATAAGGCACAAGACGTGTTTGGCGCGATTTGTTGATATTTTCAGACCAGTGCAACCCAAATTTCACATTTAAAATTTTTAGATTTTAAAAATGTTGTTTAAATAGCAAATCCATTTGCTCCACTTTGTGGATTCATGGGCGTGCTGCTCTTTGTGTGTTTGGATATAACTGACCACACTTTACGCTAATTAACTTCACGTTATTATTGTTCATTCATTTATTTGCTGGAAATTAAAACTGAATTTAGAAATAGTTTTTAAACAAATCTTTGCCCTTAACAAATGAAATTAAATATGTAGGCTAATGAATGTCTTCATTAGAGTGTGTACAACACCATTTCCTTATCCACAAAAGTAAAGAGTAAAAGTAAAGTAAGGAAAAAGTAAAGAGGCCGAATGAAAGAGGCTCATTCTTTATCCTCACGCTGCAGTTAGTTTTCTCGCTAGTGAAGCGTTCAGTTTTTACACTTACAAATTCTGCCATGTAAATAACAGACGCGCCATGGCGCCGCTCAGCTGACTCGTAAAGGGAATGTGAGATGAAACTCTGATTGGTTTAATGCACGTTATGCTCAAAACAAACCTATTAAGAGAATAAGCACAATGCTATTAGCATCCTTAAAATAGCAAAAGTTTTTTAGGACTTGCCCTTAATGCTTTAGACTTTGAGCCTAGATCGTTAAAATAGAGCCCTTTTAGTTTTGTGATTGAAAGTATTTATGTCTTCTGTTACTTAATTTTGTTTGTTGTTGTATTTTTCCTCCTTTTAGGCATTTAAACAAAAAGTCTCTGCAAGGAACTTTGTTTTAACCAATGCTAGAAAGGTAAGCGAATTATATTTTACATATGAAAGATTTTTTAAAAGTTTGGGCTGAGATTATTTTTAAAAGAAGTCTCTTTTATTTATTGAAGTTGCAATTATTTATAATTTGTAGTATTTCTTTTTTCTGTTACGTTTAAAAAATATTTTGAGTTTTTAAAAAAATATACATAACTTACATAATCTCTCATACAGTAAGAGACTTACAGATCTTGCTCAAGTTTTGTAATTTTTTTCCAAACAACAACAATTATAAACGGTAAAACATGGAGAGCTGCAAATCCTTTGGATGATTGCCTTTAAAGAAGAAAAGATGTATATTTATACACCTAATATTAAATGAAAAAGTTACAACTCAAGAAAAATTGGGACATGTTGGTAAAATATACTCAATCCATTTACTCCAAATTAGAAAAAGTATTCAGTCTGTGTTCTCAATGAAAAGATTTTCTAAGACATATATAATGTGCACTCTATCAATCTATTCTTCAACTGTAATGACTCTAATTTTAACCATTTTATTTTATTTCAGAAAAATAAATAACAGTTTCATGTCTTTATTAATCCTGCCATCTAAATTTATATTGCCTAAATATAAAGATTTACAAGGGAAAGCAATCTCTACTTCAAAAATTGTATTTAAATGTATTTTAATCTCTTTCAGTATGAGGTTAATTTCTGACAATGCCAAAAGTACATGATGGTGATTGGGGCCACTTTTCACCCACTGTAGCATATTTTAAAATAGATTCATGTGAGAAAAAACATAATTGCTTAGAAATCCTTCTAATATGCTGAATATAAAGAAACAACTTGAATTATTTTATTTTAATAGGTATGTGTTTGAGTAAAATATTAGGTATAGTTCACCCAACAATAAGGATTCTATCATCATTTTCTCACACTTGTTACAAAACTTTACGAGATGAAGTAAAACTAAGTTTCTTTCTTCTGTTGAACTCAGATAATTAAATATTTTGAAACATGTAAACATTGACTAAAATATTTCCTATTAATTAAGTCAATGTTTACAGGTTTTCAGCTGTCTTCAGAATGTCTTCTTATGTGTTCAATAAAAGACATAAAGATTGAGTAAATAGTGAGTTAATATTCTTTTGTTTTTGGGAGAATTTCTTATTTATTTTATATCTTACTTATTCATCTGTTATCTTACCATTATTTTGCAAAAAATGCTCTAAATTACAATACTTGTGTTTTAAATTTTGAAGAAATGTTATAGTTATACATAATAAAACTAGAATAAGTTTACTATTAAGTGTGATTTGTAAATACAGAGAAACTGAGAAAAATTATGGAGCATTCTGAAATAAAACAATGACCGAAACAATAAATGAAATGTTTTATTATTTTATAATTAAACAAAATGAACTCTTCACGTTGTAAAGCAGTAAACAGTTCACACTTTAGATCAGTTATAAAAATACAGAATAAGCTGAGTTTTACTACTTGTCTGAGTGTGGCTTTTTGAGTGTTTATGCTTGTACACTTGTCCAGTTGGCCCACCAGTGTATGCGTGAGGTCCGGAGGGCTGCCATCCAGGCACAGAAGAACTGCAAAGAGACTTTACCACGAGCTCGTCGCCTCACCAAAGAGATGCTGCTGTACTGGAAGAAGTACGAAAAGGTGGAAAAGGAGCACCGTAAACGTGCCGAGAAAGAGGCTCTCGAGCAACGCAAACTCGATGAGGAGATGCGGGAGGTATCAAAATACATACAGTAAAAAAAGCATTACTTTGAGAATCACTTTCTGAAACAGCTGTTCCCTGTGCGTTAGGCTAAGCGTCAGCAGAGGAAGCTGAACTTTCTGATCACACAGACGGAGCTGTACGCTCACTTTATGGGTGGCAAGCAGAACGCTGGAGGAGACTGTACACAAGAGGAGATCCTGCGCAAGTTGGAGGACAATAGCTCCCAGCGGCAGATCGACATCGGTGGAGGAGTCATGGTCAACGTCAGCCAGGAGGACTATGGTGAGGGCTTTTTTTACTGTTTATGAATGATTATTCACGGAAATGGGTATTTAGGGTTCAAATAGTCATGGACAACATGGAAAAGTCATGGAATTTTGACATGGCATTTTCAATGCCTGGAAAAGTTTTGGAAAAACAGAAAAACCCACAAAGTTTTGGAAAAGTCATGGAAAACAGATATCTGTATACTTAAATATAGGTTAGTTGTCTTAAACTTTTTCTGTCTTTGGCCAATCACTTACTCTCACATTATTAGTGCAGTGTAAGCATTATCTAAATAAATTTTACATAGAAAAAAAATTTGCATCACAGTGGCGCAGTGGGTAGCACAATCGCCTCACAGCAAGAAGGTCACTGGTTTGAGCCTCAGCTGGGTCAGTTGGTATTTCTGTGTAGAGTTTGCATGTTCTCCCGGTGTTTGCGTGGGTTTCCTCTGGGTGCTCCAGTTTCCCTCACAGTCCAAAGACATGCTCTATAGGTGAATTGGGTAATCTAAAATTGCCTATGTGTGTGTGTGAATGAGTGTGTTTGGATGTTTCCCAGTGATGGGTTGCAGCTGGAAGGGCATTCGCTGTGTAAAACATATGCTGGATATGTTGGTGGCTCGTTCCACTATGGTGACCCCAGATTATTAAAGGGACTAAACCAAAAAGAAAATGAATGAATAAATATAACATTGAAACTAAATAGATTGCTGCGTGTTTTACGATATGCTTTAAAAATGTTATCATGTATTGTTTTTTACCACGCATTTGTAGACACTGCATGAAACATTAGGTCAGGAAAACTTACTTGAAAATCTTTTAAAAGTTATGTAATTTTTGTAAAAATGTGTATGAACCCTGCTTATTCTAATCATTACAGTGTGATTTTTGCATAATCTGAGATCCTTTTTTTTTAATGGGGATCATGATTCGCCCAATATTATAAAAAGACAACTGAACAAAACAGCATGTAATTTTGGCATTTGTGTTGAATGATTCAATTATTTTGTCACACTTTACAATAAGGTTTCATTAGTCAGTGTTACATATTTACTAACATGAGCTAAGAATGAACAATACTTGTACTACATTTATTAGTCATAGTTCAGCATTTACTGATGCCTTATTTAAATGCAAATTCATGCTTGTTAACATTAGCGAATGCACTGAGTTAACATGAACTTAACAATGAACAACTCTTATTTTCATGAAATAACATTAACTAACATGAACAAAAACTGTAATAAATGTTTTGTAAACCTTATTGTAAATTGTTACCTACTATTCTTTTATATCAGGGGTGCCCAAACTCGGTCCTGGAGGGCCAGTGTCCGGCTTATTTTAGTTCCAACCCCAATTAAACCAAAGACTATAAAACACACAATATGGCGAATGAAGCTCTGCCTTCTGGTACAGGAGCCAATCAGTGATTGCTATATGGCAAATAAAGCCTGCCTTCTAGTTTAGGAGCTAATCAGCGATTGCTATATAATGACAATTCTCCAGGGGAGGGGCACAGATCAGACATGAGTTTTTGCAGATTTTGTGTGATACGAACATTTAGAAATGAAACTAAATTCATAGTTGTTTTGGAGAATTTGATGTTTTCCCATTAAAACAGAATGCCCGAGTATACTGCCCGAGAGGCGTTTCAAAAATGACCACCGAGTGACATGACTTGCCTTTAAGGGACTTTGACTAAACACAACTGAACCAGCTAATCAAGCTTTTTCAAGGTATAAAATTTCCAGACTCGTGTGTTGAAGGAAGTTAGAGATAAACTATGCAGGACCAAGTTTGGACACCCCTGGTTTAAACTATTCTTTTCGAAAACTTTGCATGTTACTTTACTGGATGAATCCGCATTTTTGAACAAATCTCTTGAACAAATTCTTCATTGACAAATACATTTTAACCCACTGGAATGGTACACGTTGTCAAAATCATTGTTTAAAAAATATATACATTTCAGCTAAATGTTCTGTATTTTAGATCATTATTTTTTTATTTTAATAGTTAAATTATTAGGTGAAAATATAGATTTGTTCAGTAGTTATAAGTGGTATAATCCAATTATAAACCTGATATAAACACAGTTATAAACGTTTGCTTTAATTGTAATTTGTATTGTATTTAAAGCAAAAATCATGCGATTAATTTTTTTAAATTAATTAATTAATTTATTATTATTGTTTTTTTTATTTTTATTTTTTTTATCTTGTAGATAGTGATTATTACAAGTCTCAGGCCCTGAAAAACGCAAAAGAGGCATACCAAATCCACCAGGCCAGAGTAAGTAGCAGTTTGTTATGCATTAGTTGATACTATATACAGTATGTTTATCACATAAATTTTTGTCTAGATTGTGATTATTTTGACATCTCTCTTTGTGATCTGTAGACCAGGTTGTTTGACGAGGAAGCGAAGGACAGTCGTTGTGCCTCTCTGCACGCTGCTAGTATGTCCGGCTCTGGCTTCGGTGAGAGCTACAGCTTATCAAACCCTTCTATTCAAGCAGGTGAAGACATCCCTCAACCCACCATCTTCAACGGCAAACTGAAGGGATACCAGCTCAAAGGCATGAACTGGCTGGCCAATCTTTATGAACAGGTGATTTCTGATGCTCTCTTATGCTTTTACACACACCACTGCTGAAAAAAAATGTGACAAGCAATACTTCTGACAGCTTATTTAAGAGGTTTGTGGATTTTGCCTAACTCTCTTCTTTTTTTTTATTTGTTGTTTGAAGAGTGGGATATATTTGTGTTGTTTTTCCTATTTTGTTATCATTTATTTTGGAAATCCCATTTTACAAGCATTTCTTCATTTGGTTTCATGTTGTTTACCCTGTCCGTTTGAAATAAATTCTTCGTCTTTTTTTTGATATTTAGCTTGGTTAAGCATTCTCATTATGTTGTGATTTGGAGCCTGGTCACAACAGGATATATTGTTTTTGCTTACCAGGGATACTTGTGATCAGTAGAGACAGTAAAAAACATTTATAATAGTTTCTAAAGAAAGGATCACATGACATTGAAGACTGGTGAGACAATTTGCTATTACAGGAACAATTTACAATTAAAAGCATGTTAAACAATCATAATAAAAATTAATGAATAATTATTAATTAACAATTATAGTAATAACAATATAATAATAATAATAATAATAATAAGTTATAAATATAGTATTTTAATAAAAAACATATAGCTTTAGTGAGTGTAACACTTTTCGAAATTTTTACCAATCCCAAAGTTTCTATTAGTAGAGTATATCTCTTCCTTCATGTCTGTAAGCTTTATAAAGACTGTAGTGATTCATGTTTCTGTATTTTCACTTCTCATAGGGCATCAATGGCATTCTGGCAGATGAAATGGGGCTTGGAAAGACAGTCCAGAGCATTGCTTTACTGGCTCATCTGGCAGAGGTAAGAATTACTGGTCGGAAACCTTTGAATTTGTACAAGATGTTTATAAACAAGTGTAGTGCACACTGGATATTAGGTAAATCTGGACATTAATCTTATCTTTCATTGGCTAAGAAATTTTAAATAAGGATAACACTGTAGTATTATTAATATAAAGTATTTAACATTAATGTTATTTTAAATAGTTTTTGTAATACATGGTTTAATATATAATTCAGTGTATCAGATATTTTGATGTTAAAATTAAATTCTATTCTAACTTTGAATTATTAATATGTATAGAAGAACAAGTACTGGAATTTAAAAATTTTAGCAAAATAAAACTAACCAAAAGCGAAGTTTTGAGGGTAGTGGCAAAGTAAACATGACAATTACGTAGTATCAATGTCTTTGCATACACAATTCAAAATTTTCTTATGTCTTTTATCGTATTCATCCTAAAAATTCATAATGCCCTGAAACAAAATGAGATTGTATTTATTTTTTTATATGCTAAATCTTTTTATTAAACCTCCAGGCCTAGTTTGCAATTGTTTTGATGAGTCTGACACATACAGATCCATTTGCAGCTTTTTATTTGCAACAACAAGGCAACTCAAGTGAAAGAAGCCAATCCAAAAGACTAAAAAAGACAGGACAGCCCAGCAAAAAATCAGAGAATGAAATACACCTTAGTCAGGGCAGCCCAGCAAACAGAGTCAAGATAAACAGTCCATTAATCACAGAAAGGCAGAAAGAACATTAGAAAGAATGCTTCATAATGATCATAAGGAGAAATCAAGCTGGCATAGATATAAGAGGGATGATAGGCATCAGGTATGAGAGTGTAATCTGTCATAGATATATACACTAGATATCGCATAGGGCCCCTGAGCATGCGTCAATAGCGCCGCCACATTGGTACAGTGCTCCCAGGACAAATGTCATTCAACCGCACTAGTCAAGACAGTGTTATTACGTGAAGATGCGGGACTTTAGCGCTGTCTACGGGTGTAGTAACGAGCAAACAAAGAAAACAAAGCACAAAGGCAGAACATTTTGAAGGTAATATTAAGTTTTTTTCTGTTTTTGTATGTTCTGAACTTTTGTGCTAATCAGGTAACGTTATTGATGATAACAGTCACTTACTGCATTCACTATACGGCAAAGCAGCTCCAACTCGCACTAAACACTCGGCTTATGCTAGTTTTGTTGAATAAAATCAGCAAACAATGCAAAAGAAATATGACAACGAGATGCTGCGCTGCCAGAAACTTGTATTATTGTCAGCTAACGTTAGTGAAAGAGTCGTTTGGGGGATTCATTCACAAACGAATCGCTCCCTCCGTCATTATGAGAAGTGAAAGCAGGAGAGGAGCTGTGTTTCAGGACATAATTAGATCAAATTTAACAGGGAGGGTGAATAGTACATTTCTGTACACACAAACACAAGCTTTTTGTCAGGAATGCCCGTGCGGTCACTGATCCATCAATATAGAAAAGTGATGTAAAATTATAATTTTCGTAATTAGAAAAAAAAATTTACATACTAACATCCAGAAAAACTCCCGATCATAGATATATGTGTATATGTGTATATCTCTGGCTTTGGATGGCCACTGTCCTCCACTGTACCTTGGTCCCGCATTCATTTCAAAGGAGTGCTACCCTGTAGCAAGATGGCGGCGGTATTGACGCATTCCATCCAATAGACAAAAATAGGCCAGGCGACATCTAATGTATATATCTATGGTAATCTGTAATGAAGGATTGTGGTGAATGGAGTCTGAATGGTACCCAATAGAAATTTGGGAAAACAGCTCCCTCTGAAGGTGTGGAGAAGATGGAACAGGAGTCTAAATTACAACTGTTCGTTGATATTTAGATAGTTTGTTAATATTATTAATTAGAATATTTTAATTATTCATAAAATGACCTTACATCTTGTTCTGAAAATATCTGACCAAATGTTTTGGTATATAAACTATTGTTACTCTGACATTTTAGAGGATATCTACTGTAAATTATTGTAAAAATATATTATAAAGTTTTTGCTGTTTGAACTTATCATAAAATTTATGATAGTTGTAATCGATAAATATTATAAACAATATGCAATAAATATGGTGAAAAGACTAATTATTATTTTTTTAAATGTTAAAAATTGAAATCTCAATCCTATTTTAGAGCAACAACTTAAATCTCAAGATATCTTTATGAAACTATCTAAATCGCCCAGTCTTACAATTAGCATAGCACTGCAAGATATCAGGCTTTGGGGAATGTTCTCCTTCTCTGTCGTATCATTTTCCAGCCTGCATATATATATATATATATATCTATATATATATATATATATATATATATATATATATATATATATATATATATATATATATATATATATATATATATATATATATATAAAAACCCCTCTCTCTTTTGCTGTCCTGTGCGATCATATTCATTTCTCTAAAACAAATGCCTGACACCACATTTCATCTCTCTTTGGCATCAATGTGAACCCTCCAGCTGTCTCCATGACTTTCAGAACTGGCGAAAAGACGAGGATGCAAAATTTTGCTATTTTATATGAAAGAGTAGCGCTGTGGGCCCATAGGAAACCATGCTAGCATGTTACCTCGCTCTTTGGTTGTTTCCTGTCTTTTCCACCGTCCTCCTCCACCGCTGTCTGCACCTGTTTGGCTTATTTTGTGCTTCATGTGTTTTATCGGACAGAGGGAAAACATCTGGGGGCCGTTCCTGATCATCTCCCCAGCCTCAACACTCAACAACTGGCATCAGGAGTTCTCCCGCTTTGTGCCCAAATTCAAGGTGAACATGGCAGCTGTGCGGGGAAGCACCTGCAGCCGTCCTATCCTCTCTGTCTCAAACCTTTTATAAACCCATTGAACTATATCTATTTTCAGAACAATGGAAATGCCTTTTTCTTTTAAGCCTTTGCATATCTTTGATGAAAGAAAAACGCTTGACAGATTATTAAACTTCTGGTCTGGCTTTCCTTTTGGGGGCAGTGTTGCATCATTTATATGCCACGTTCTACTAATATCAGCAGCTTAAAAATTCATTTCCTGCCAGTCAGACTGAATCTCACAAATGATCTGGATGTAAAATCCCAGCCAGAATAACTTAAGGAATATAAGAAGGTTGAGCAATTATTATTTCTTTTTGTTGGCCCAGTCTGGCCAGTAGCTTAGATTTATACTTGCCCTGCCAATATTTGCACTAGACCCAGCCGCAATTTATTTTTAGCAGCATATTTTAATGTCAGGAAGAAAAGTGTTTTTCATTAAACGTTTGTTTTCTTTATACTAGCACATGTTGCATGATATACTTTGTTATTTTTAAAATGTGTGTAATAAATAGAAATTATGGAGCTATAATGTCATCTAACAATACATGCTTTTCATTTTGTATTGGATAAGTTTTTATTTTTCAACCCTAATTCACATTTTGCACCTTGTAAAGAGGTTACGGTTATGAAAAGTATGATTTTTTTTGCAGGAATTAAACAGTGTAATATGTTTTTATTTTTATAGTGTGTACACATAGAAATACAGAACAACACTTTACATGCATTTTTACAGCAATAACCTTGCTGCATTTTCAAATGATTTCAAAATAAAAGGTTATATACATACCATTGCAATCAGATTGATTAGCCCCCCTTTGATTCTTTTTTCTTTTTAAAATATTTCCCAAATGATGTTTAACAGAGGAAAGAATTTTCTCAGTATGTCTGATAGTTTTTCTTCTGGTGAAAGTCTTATTTGTTTTTTTTAGAATAAAATAAAAATAAAATCGGCTAAAATAAAAGCATTTTAAGGTCAAAATTATTAGCCCCTTTAAGCTATATATTTTTTGGTAGTCTACTGAACAAGCCATTGCTATACATTAACTTGCCTAATTACCCTAACCTGCCTAGTTAAACTAATTAACCTAGTTCAGCCTTTAAATGTCACTTTAAGCTGTATAGAAGTGTCTTGAAAAAATCTAGTAAAATATTATTTTATTTTATCAGTTATTAGAAATGAGTTATTAAAACAATTATGTTTAGAAATGTGTTGAAAAAATCTCTCCGTTAAACAGAAATTGGGGGAAAATAAACAGGGCGGCTGATAATTCTGATTGCAACTGTATATATACAAAACTAAACAAAAAGCAAACAAACAACAACAAAAAATAAAAATGCCCCTTTTTTGGTTAATGGTAATCCATTCAAAAGTGATCATTATTATCATACTGAATACAGTGTGAAGCAAATATATAGAGTGAAGAGTGTATCAATACAGAACTGTAAGACTGGAACTACATTGTACACACAAAGATTATTCATCAACTTCTTCCACTGTAATTTCATACCTTCGATATTTCCAATGAAAGGACTCCATATGTTTTCAAATACATGCTGTTTAGCTTTTAGTTTGCAAGTTATTTTTTTTATGGCAGGCTTGACATCATCTGTCTCATCCATTGAGTAGTGTTTAGTCTTTGCCTCTTTGTCCATAGCAAAGCTACACATTTTTTGTCATAAAGCAAGCTGAGATTAATAAATAATCAAACAATTTTTTGAAATATTTTTTAGTTTGTGGCAAATTTCAAATAACATCTCTCCTCATTCTCTCTCACAGGTGTTACCGTATTGGGGAAATCCTCATGATCGAAAGGTCATCCGAAAATTTTGGAGCCAGGTAAACATTTCAAAAGAATGCTAATTAAATGCAAATATTAATTGAGACCTGCTACTTCAACTGTATTTTATACATTTTTGGTGCCTCTTGCAGAAAACTCTGTATACTCAGAATGCACCATTCCATGTAGTCATCACCAGTTACCAGCTAGTGGTGCAGGATGTGAAGTATTTCCAGCGGGTGAAATGGCAGTATATGGTTCTGGATGAAGCTCAAGCACTGAAAAGCAGCACCAGGTAATAGCACTTTTCTGTTTTCAAACTTTAGTTTACACATGTGCTTTATTTGAATTTATTCATTGTTCAGTTATATTATTGATTGATTGATCATGATATGCAGGGTGTCCACAGGGTTTAAAAAGATTTAAAAGTTAATAAATCAATTACGAGAAAATTAAGGCCCTTAATAGTTATTAAAAAGTCTTAATTGCGTTTTTCTTAATTATATTTCATAAATATATTTATTTTCCTCCTAATATTAACAATGACATGCTCCATCCACGCGATTGGTTAGGGCCGGGGCTTGTCTAGCCTAGCTCCTCCCTCCAGGGGATGTCAAATAAATTGTGGGAAGGTGATGTGACGTTCTCCACATGTAGCGAAACCATAGAGCGAAACAGACGGCATAATGGGAAAATGTAAGTTGGCTGAAAACAACCGCGTAATTTATTATTTCAAGCTTTGTTTCTTCCGAGCTTATCTTAACTGTTTATTAACAACAGTATAAAAACAACTTATTAAGTTAAATGTTTGATACTGATTAAAACTTGAAGTGGCGATGAGGTCTTAAAATAGTCTGAGAGGGTCTTTTAAAAAGTCTTAAAAAGGTATTTAAATTATCTTTAGGATTCCTGCATATACTCTGATATGGTAGTATTTACTAACTTTTCATGAATATGTTACATACAAGAGACTCACCAAAAACTTGTATCATTCTTTGATTACAAGTAAGAAGTCGTTGAAAATAATTTGTAAATATAGTCTGAGCTCTTTCTTCTCAATAACAAAATAAACACACAAGAAAAATGACCGTGGTGAGAATAAAATGGTTAAGAAAACATCTGATTATAACAATACGGGTGTTTGCACTGCATCATGTTGACAGATGAGGTCATTAAAATAGCACTGTAATTACACTGAAAGTTGCATTATAAATGTATGTGGGCCCACAGACTTCTATGTAGATCTGGCTATATATTATGTATGACTATAGTTTAAATGAATCCCTTTTCTTTGCTAGACACAATGACATTATAGTATAAAACTGCTCTTTTAATGTTATGCTTTACTGCACCCAGAAGGTAACCATAGCGCTTCACTTTTTTTAAACTTTTTTTTTATGTTACAGCCTTATACCAAAATGGATTAAATTCATACATTTTCTCAAAATTCTACACACAATTCCCCATAATGACAACGCGAAAAAAGATTTTTTGAAATTATTGCAAATTTATAAAAAAATTAACATGTACATAAGTATTCACAGCTTTTGCCGTGAAGCTCTAAATTGAGCTCAGGTCATTCTGTTTCTACTGATCATTCTTGAGATGTTTCAGCAGCTTGATTGAAGTTCATCTGTGGTAAATTCAGTTGACTGGACATGATTTGAAAACGCATACATCTGTCTATATAAGGTCCAAGGGTTGACAGTGCATGTCAAAGCACAAACCAAGCATGAAGACAAAATAATTTTCTGTAGACCTCAGAGACAGGATTGTCTCAAGGCACAAGGCTGTACAAGGCCTGTATGGTAGAGTGGCCAGACAGAAGCCACTTCCCACCTGGAATTTGCCAAAACACATTTGAAGCACTCTCAGACCATAAGAAACAAAATTCTCTGGTCTGATGAGACTAAAATAGAACTCTTTGGAGTGAATGCCAGGCGTTACGTTTGGAGAAAACCAGGCACCGCTCATCACCAGGTTAATACCATCTCTACAGTGAAGCATTGTGGTGGCAGGATCATGCTGTGGGGATGTTTTTCAGCAGCAGGAACTGGAAGACAAGTCAGGATAGAGGAAAAGATGAATGCAGCAATGTATAGCGACACCCTGAATAAAATCTTGCTTCAGAGTGCTCTTGACCTCAGACTGGGACAACGGTTCATCATCCAGCAGGAAAATGACCCAAAGCACACCACCAAAATATCAATGGAGTGGCTCAACAACAACTCGGTAAATGTCGTTGAGTGGCCCAGCCAGAGCCCAGACCTAAATCCATTCGAAAATCTCTGAATCTGAAAATGGCTGTACACCGTCGCTTCCTATCAAACCTGATAGATCTTGAGAGGTACTGCAAAGAGGAATGGGCAAAAATTCCCAAAAACAGGTGTGCCAAGCTTGTGGCATCATATTCAAACAGACTTGAGGCTGTAATTGCTGCCAAAGGCGCATTAACAAGCTTTTGGCATCATAATCAAACAGGCTTAAGGCTGTAATTGCTGCAAAAGGTGCATCAACAAAGTATTAAACATAGGCTCTGAACACTTATGTACATGTGAATTTTCAGGATTTTCATTTTTTATAAATTTGCAACAATTAAAAAAAAATACATTGTCATTATGTGGTATTGTGTGTAGAATTTTGAGGAAATAATTGAATTCAATCTATTTTGGAATAAGGCTGTAACATACAAAAATGTGGAAAAAGTGAAGCGCTGTGAATACTTTCTGGATGCACTGTAAATGCTGTAAGCAGTCTTTTTATGCTCCATAAATTACAGGCTCATTTGAGTGTGTGTTATGGTCACAGCCTTTTCATTTTTATATAAAATGTTAAATGGCTATCTAGACAACCTAGAAAGTCGGGGAAGGTGTAGTTAAGTTTAGTTACAAGCTGTTTAAATTTTGTGAGAAAATACATAAAAAATACTATAAACAAAATGTTTTAATACTGTTCCGTTATATGGCTAGAAAATGACCCCTTTACTAGTTGTAAACCTGTTTTTCACTCAGTATTTACTTTAAATACAGCACACAAGCACTCCACATCTGTCTAGCTTATGCTAATAATCTTACATTAGCAAAATACTGGCCCATTTAATGACTATTTTCTCCAGATACCCTGCTTGTCTTGCTGTTACGCATCCTTGGTTGAACCTTTCAACAAGGAGAAATGAGTTTATAAAAAGCTGCAGATGCCCGAGAGAGAGAGAGAGAGAGAGAGAGAGAGAGAGACAGAGAGAGACAGAGAGAGAGAGACAGAGAGAGAGACAGAGAGAGAGAGAGACAGAGACAGTCTCCAGTACTGGGGCATCTCAGATTTTCCATGTTCCCGTCCTTATAGTCAGCGCAGTGACACTATGTCTGGACTGGAAGCCTTCAGAGAGTCGAGGGCCTCTCAAGCTTAGAGTGTGAGTTTGAGCCTCTCTGGAGATGACAGCACATGTGCCAGCAGCTTCTGTTGTGGTGGGACATGATTTATTGCCCAATTGGAGTCCCAAAAAGGCATCAGAGCAGTTTTCAAGTCTCTGAAGTCCCCATAATCAATGAAAGACTTACTGTAAGTGGGTCTAAGATACGTGCTCTAAAGAGAATCCCGCCAGGATTCCTAGTTGTGCGTTGAGAGTTCTTGTCATGCTGAGAGTTATATCCTCCATTAACCTCAGCTTGATGCTTGCTTGGGAGGTCTTAGTGGTTGTCTCTGCTTCTTCTTGGCAGCGTTCGGTGGAAGATCCTTCTTCAGTTCCAGTGCAGGAACCGCCTTCTGCTAACAGGGACGCCGATCCAGAACACAATGGCAGAGGTGAGTGTGCTCATGTGGGATCTTCTTGTTACCACATTAAAAGTGCTGTACCACATAAAAAATCTGACACCATTGTTGTTCCTCTCAGTTGTGGGCCTTGCTTCATTTCATCATGCCAACGCTGTTTGACTCTCACGAAGAGTTCAACGAGTGGTTCTCCAAGGACATCGAGAGTCATGCTGAGAACAAATCTGCTATTGATGAAAGTCAGTCAACAATTGTGTTTATCTTCATTTGCTGTCCATGTGGTTTATAGGGGGATGTGTTAGGGTTGATCAGTTTAGTTAAAATAATAATAGTAGATAAGTAACATATATTTATTATTCTATTATAATTTGTATAGCCACAGTTTTACTACGTATACTTCAATTAAACAATGGTTAAGGATTGGATGGATCGAAAAGTAATCGAAATCGTCATTCAGAACCTCAAATCAATCTAATTTTTCCAGGTCAATTTTTTTCAACTACTTTCCCTACCGCATATGGAGTCATGTCATCCTGCTCTGTTAGCCACACTTTGTAGCCACATCTGATCTCTAGTCAAGTATGACCCATTCCTGAGCCTTACTTTATACTACATTGATGATGATTAGAAGCTATGCCAGAAATGCCTTGAAACGGCACATTTTTCATTATGTTAAAATTATTATTTTCATTCAAATATTTGTTTACAGAAGATGCAAGAAATGAACTTTTTAAAATATTACTTTTACGGGATATACAAGAGTTGTTTTATTTAAAAGAGATTTTATTTTCTACTTTTAATATGAAAAACATTGAAAATCATTTATTTTCTTTCCAAAAGTGAAAGTTATTTATTTTCACTTTTTTATAAGAAAAAAGAGTATTTGTTCATTTTAAGCAATGCGTGTTTTAATTTCAGTTGTTCATAGATAGTGTATATAGTGTATGAACTATGAGGATAAAAAATAAAATAAATAAGTTGTTATTAATTATTAATCATAATTGAACTAAAATATCAAATTAATCAAGATTTAGATTTTAGACCAAATCGCCTAGCCCTACTATGGTTAGAGTAGTAAAACCTTGGGTCATTTTTTGGGAGAGTTTGATGTCTGAAGTAGCACTTATAATTGATAGCTTGGGTTGTTGTTGAGGTATTTTAGCACATTGTTGTCATGTTTAACATAAAGCTTGTATGTTTTTCTAGCAAGTGTTATGAACCTTTTATTTACTAGCAAGTTTTAGTTTTATGTCCTAGTTCTTCCTAGTGAGTTGAGGTTAGATTATTTTAATCTCAGAATAAATATTTATTTTACTTCCATATGTTCTAGCTTTCTGGTTGATTTAAAAAATGTTTACAAACTATTAGCAGTTAGCTGTGAAATGTATGTGTTTCCAGATATAAATACAGAAAAACAGCTTCATTTGAGTTTTTTCTGTTCACTTAATTTTCAAAGACTTTAAGTGTTATTTTATAGACTTCTAATAGTCTGTGTTGTACAAACTGGGTTCACCCAACAACACTGCTCAAACAGCATTTACTAAACAAACGCTGATTTTTAACTACAATCACACTTCTGTTTTTATCAAACAAGCTGCTTAAAATTTAATATTGCATATGTATAAAAACCGTTATCCAATATTAATTGTAAATTTTTAATTCTTTTTGTTGCTTTACCTTCTCAGACCAACTTTCCCGATTACACATGATTCTAAAACCCTTTATGCTGCGCAGAATAAAGAAGGATGTGGAAAACGAACTCTCTGACAAGGTGATGTCCTTTAGCCTCTCAGGCAGAATTGTGGTTTTAAACCTACGATTAAATAATAGTGTTTTCAAGTTTATGTTATATTTATGTTGTGCAATTTCCAAACCTTCAACCATTCAGATTGAAATCTTGACATACTGCCAGCTGACCAGCAGACAGCGACTCCTTTACCAGGCTCTGAAGAACAAGATCTCTATCGAGGACCTTCTGCAGTCTTCAATGGGATCGGCCCAGCAGGCCCACAGCACCACCAGTAGCCTCATGAACCTCGTCATGCAGTTCAGGAAGGTGAGACCCGGTTTATCAGCTTCAAAGATGGCCTATAAAGAAATAAAGGTATATCTAGGCATAGTCGAATAATAAGAGGTCAGTATATGCAAATGGCTATACCGTTAGCCTCAAGGCTGGTTTATATTTCTGCGTCGTGTGCTCGCCATGACCACGGCGCCTGCCTTGCAGATAGTCATACATTTATACTTCTGTTTGCTGTTTGTGTTGCTCTGCAATAGCACTTCCAAAACACTAGCTGGCAGTAGGTCTTTATGTTCCTCTGTGTCGTGTTTCTCCATGGGTGTTTTTTTCTCTAAATGCTACCTTAACCTACAAGTAACTTAAACTTGCTGATTCAAAAGGCGTGAAATGACGTGCAACAATATTAATCATAAGATAAACACAAAACAACAGATTCCATCTAGAGCTCCTTCCCCGGACTCGTACCGGACACTTGTAAACACTCGCTCAAATAGGTTCACGTGGCTCTCGGTCCCACCCACACTGATCACAGCTACCAGACCAACTAATCACAGAGCTTGCGCTAAACGTCGTTGCAACGTGTAATTCCATTTTTTTGAAAGGTGCACGTCAGCATTGGCGTTAACGTTGGCTTTAGCGTTTTGGGGGGGTGGAGTTGGGGTTGAGTGTTGTTGACGGCAGTGCCCGAGTTTATATTTGTCCATGTTCAGTGCACATCATGCATGTGTGTCTGTGAGAGCTGCATGTCAGAGCTCATTAATATTCATGACACAATCCAAATATAATAAATTATCGACCTTCTGATTTTAGGGGTATTTTATTGAGTAATAAATGAACTTATAAAACCATTTCTGAAGATTTTTTTTTACTTACCTAAGCCACATACCTACTATATAGATATCAGAAAACTATTCTAATTAAACCAATGCAGTACAGTTCTGTCATCATTTACTCACTTTCATGTTATTTCAATCTTTTATGTATTGCTCTATTCAATCAAGCTGTTTTGAAGAATGTTATAAGATGTTTCATTCCCCATAGATTGCCTTGTATAGATAAAAAATACATTTGAAGACAATTTAAATTGAAACTGCTTGGTCTCCAACTACTTTAGAATATTTTCTATTATGTTGCATCAAAGAGGTCAATATATGTTTCAAATAACATAAAATAAAATGAATGAAGGCTGAAGTTGAACTATTCTTTAATTTTTTAATTATTTTACACTCACTGTATACATGTTGATGAGCTCCTGTTTTTAATCACTGTGTGTTTTCTCAACTGTAAAAGGTTTGTAACCACCCAGACCTGTTTGAACGACAGGAGATACGCTCACCTTTCCACATGTCCCTAAAGCCCTTCATCATGTCCAAATTCCTCTTCCGACACGCAATCCTTCACACAATTGACCACGGAAAGACCAAGTAAGTTAATTTTTCTGTGCTTCCCACAGGTTTGAATTATAATACCTTTTACCCACAGCACATAAATAGTTAACTGTGCAACAAACAAAACATAATGAGATTTTTAACACAATTTTTTATTATTATAGGTTTTAAACTTTTTCTTTTCAATAGGTTAAGTTTAAAAAAAACTTGAAATAAATAAATTAATAATATACTATTTCTCTTTTATGCTATTCTGAATTCATGTGCACCCACTAAAATCTGCTTTTCTCTGTCTCTGATTCAGATTGCTTTATTGGCATGACATTTTGTACAGTATTGCCAAAGCATTTTAGATGTATAAAATATGTAATTTATTTGCATCATCAAATTAATAAAATATACTGCAAATGAGAAATAAAGGACAGAAAAAAAGAATAAAAACAGACAATATCTCTAAAAATTAAAAAAATTACAAGATTAAAACTTGTAAATTATTTAAATTAGACAAATGAGTTTATTACCGATTGTCATTTCTTCCTCTTTGAGTATTTAGTCAATTTTTCCTGAGCCGTTTAGTTTAAAGAATTTGTTATTTATTGTCTCTCGCTCTCGCGGCTGTGCACATAAAATTATTGACAGCTTTGAAAATGAAAGCAAAAGCAAATCCCAGACATTTTGGTAGATTAAGAAACCTCAGCTGGACGCAAAAAGGTGTGGGTCTCTATTGGTCTGCAGAGCAAGTCAGTGTTGACAGTTCTCGTAAACACAGAACAAGCAGTACGAAACCGGTAAACGAGAGAAGATTTTTCTCTACTGTATCACTCGCGGATGTTTGTTTATTTTGGGCGGATACAAAAAAGTGTAAAAGGATGATAATGATAGTAAAAAAAAAAGTTTCACTAAATATACTGTACCATTAAACATACTGGCCGTTAATATACCTGGGCAGCCCACCCATGTAAAGTCAATGTGTGGGAAGCACTGCAATTGTATAAGAATAGTGTATGAGTGTAGTCCACAATACAACTGTAACAATAAAGACACAGACGAAAGATATTGTTGGAATCACTAGCTGATGAATGGTATACATGTATAATAATCAGACAATATTTTAGGTGTGTAAAAATACAGTTGGCTGTATCGTTTTAAATTTGAATTGTTGATTCCATATCTTACAAACATTTGTTTTTAATACTGTTTTATTCATTGCCTTCACTCTTCAGGCTGAAACAGACGTTGCTCTCTCCGTTTTCTGCTCAACACATTCAACAGTCCTTATTTCACAGAAAAAGTGATTGTCTTTATTAAACTTCAGTTACATTCTGAATTGTTTAATGCCACACTCGTTTCTGATCATAGTCTACATCATTTCTACAGCTGACGATGAAGCCAGCAGCTTTTCCTTCCTGCGTTTCATCGACGTGTCTCCTGCCGAGATGTCAAATGTCATGCTTCAGGGGACTCTAGTGAGGTCAGTTACTTCGCACTTACATCAGTGATTTTTCTTACGTGGAGGAATATTTCTGAAAATTAAAATCATTCTAGACATGTATGTCATTTTTTTTCTCCTTTGGAATTTTTTAAGAATGCTGGGAAGCAAACATGGTTGGAGCCCACAGACTTTAAGGAGAAAGAAACATTTTCCCAAAATATCTTCTATTAATGACTATTCATAATAGGAATTTCTGCTGAACACAAAAATGTTTTGAAAGTAGCCAGTAATCAATCAGTTGAGGGTATCCACTGACTTTTTATTGATATTATTAGTTACTAGTATTAAAATGTGTTACTTTTTTGTGTTTAACTTTGAAAATATCTTCTTTTCCTCTTTTTCTCAGGTGGTTAGCCTTATATCTTTCTTTCAAATCAGCTTATCGGCTCCACCACAGCCGTCAGTGGGAAGAAGAAAAGATGAGCGAGGTTAAAGGGAGAGGCCGGTTAGAAAAGCTATGTCTTTCGCACAGGGATCTCATCTTATGGCTTAATCGGCCAACGTCTTTCCCAAATGTCCACAGCAGTCCTGTCCTACAGGTATGCTCTGTCCTTCTTTTTTTGCTTTGTCGCACGACTGCATATACGTATATCACCTTGGGCATGCATTCCAGCTAGTGGTGTAAAATAACAGCGAAAGAGTCACAACATCAGAATAGATTTATTCATAGATTAGATTCTTAGATTTATTTTAGAATGACAAAATGTTGCAAAAGATGTCATACCTGTATTTCAAAGGCATTTTTGCATAGGAAAAAGGGAAAGCAGAATGGGAAATTTTAACATGATTTTTGTGTGATGTTTTAAACCCCCATAGTAATATGTTTTATATTATTATTATTTACAAAGAATAGAATAAATAGTACACATTAGAAAAAGCTGCAGATAAATTAGCAAAATAAAATTTATATTTTAAAATTAATAGCTATTAAAAAATTTAATCAAGTTATCAAATCTCATTAACATTTTCTTCACTGTATAATAAAGAGCAGTGAAGGAATCTCTCATTTAGATTTTTCGTTTGATTATATTTAATAAAGTGAGGTGTCTCTTTAAAAAAAAGCACAGATCTATAATAAAAGCATTTGATTGCCTTTTTTTTAAGTCGTCGACTTGACTTGTGAGTTTAGTTACCATGGCTTGGAGAGTGACCGTCTTGTCTGACCAAGTTGAGAGTCCTCCTTCGACATCCTTAATCTCTTTCATTTGGTCAATTTCAGAATGCACATCGCTGGCATTATTCGCTATTTTGGTTGTCATTACCTGTAGTTTAGATTTACTTGCGTCAAAGTCATCGGCCAATGCATTCTTCAACTCTTTCCTTATTGCAGATGATGTATGCGTTCTTAAAAAGTGGAGAATGTCCGCCTTTATCGCCTCAAAGTCAGTATTTGTATCTTTAGGCTGTCCAGAAGAAGAAGTGACAGGCTGGCCGGGCTCGCCGGAACTACTTTCCCCCGAGGCTTCGGACCTTGCGGTGGTAGGGCTAGAATACTTGTATTTACGGAGATTCGCTGCCATCCTCGACTGTATTTATTTAATCAGTGTGGTTTTCTGTTTGTGTGCAAAAACAAATCCTGTACATTCTAGGAGCCCTGAAAACTCATGTTTACTCCATCACGCTCGGCAGCGCCCCCCCATTCGATTGCTTTCTTAATGCTCTTTTAAGACAAAATTTGTTGTTTTTAAAAGAAAACCCAGATGTTGTAGTTGTTATTATTATTATTATTATCTGTATTTGTCAGTTCAGACATGCACTCAAATCCCAGAGTGTTCACTTTCGCTTCGCTTCAAATTGCGTGTACAGAATCTGTTTGGAAAATAGCGTCTATTTATTAATATAGTGGAGTGCGTCTGATAGTCTAGCACCGCTATAAGAACTGATTGTTTTGAGGATGCATAGGATGGGTAACGGCGCCTGTAAAGGGAATCCTTCCATTCTTATATTTATTTCAGTGTTCTCATGCCTATATAAAACACAGAACAGATTCACATTTAAGAGCAAGGGTGTCCCCTGGTGGTTTGGTGGTATGGGTCGTGTGTAGGGAAGATCTTTCTTTTTAAAGGGCCATTACACCCCCCACTTTCGGTTAAAGTCTACTTCAGAATTTTTTCAAAAGATGCATAATTAATGGGCGTGGAGCTAAGCGAGCATCGGGCAGGAGTGGGCGTAGCCAGCAGGGGAGAATGTGAGCGAACAACTGTTGTTGTCAGTTAGCTCACAAAATGAGACACAAACCGTGAGGAGACGCATGAGTTTATAGTTTACAAAGTTAAAATGCAAAGAAATGAACAGTGACTTAATGCCCTGCTACATTTGTTATTCGGAATTTCATATACAGACAACCACAATTTATATCATTATAAAGATAAGTGTGTTCATGTAAACCCTATAAATGAGGACTTCTCCCTCAATCCCCGTATCCAGCAGACTCAGTGCAGCAGGTCTCCTGACCTGTCTATTTTAACCATTAGCCCTGCTGGTAATCTGGAGGATTTAGGCAAACACAGCAGCACGGCGATGTGTCTGAATGTGAATGAACTCCGGATAAAAGACAGCGTCCGCCATTCTCTAATTCTCGTGCTGCTCTCCCGACAAAAATGCTAGCAGCACGCACACATCTTTGCTGTATGATCGGCCCTGACAAGATTGCGGGGGAAAACATGCAACAAACCCCGTGGATGATGGAAACAAACGCATATGAGCCTTCATGAACGGCTAAATACTGTGCCGTGGTTTCCGTGTCTCTCAGCTCGGGCTTGACACTGGCAGGTCTGATGAATAATTAAGCAGCCGGCTCTTCTCATAGGATAAGAAAACTCCGCTATGAATAATAATGAGAAACCGTCATCATTGCACTTGCAGTACTGCGCTACGTCGCCGATTTTGATTCCGCCCAAAAAATCATTTTAAACCCGGAAGCCGAAATTAGCTGACAAAAGCTCAAAATTATCCAGTTTTCCCCACAATTAAAGCTGACAGGTGCTAACATTGTCTTAACTGATGCTCAACACACACACATCTGTTAATATAAAAAAAAAGTTCTCCGGGGTGTACTGAACCTTTAATGTTTATTGCCACCCTTCATTGAAAGATTTAAAACATGGGAAAGTATCTTTATAGGATGATAGCAGGATAGAATTGTAAAATATGGGAAAATCCCAGGTAAAACAGGAGGGTTAACAAGTATGGTGTACAGTCCCTTCTTATTGGCATACATTATGAACAAAATTGTACATGCAAAAAATGATTATTTCTCAAGCAAAACTCAAAAGACAAGCTTTTGGATCTGGGCTTATTAACATGCTGGAACAAACTCGATATCTTCCAAAGATTTGTTCATATTTCTTCCATGCTCCATATTGGAGTTTTTGTGTATGGGTGTGCAGCTTTACTCCTGCCTTGGGTTACCCCACTGAACCAGATGAAATGACCCTCATCAATCACAAGCGCCGATGGCTCGGATTTCGCTGTGGAAACCTACTTCCACTCACCCACGAGACACTACAGCATTGCTGTATATCAAATGCTGATGAGAATATCAAAGGTGCAAACTGATTATACAGGAATGGAAAGATGATAGAGGAAGGGATGCTGGATGTCCCAGTCCAGAAGCTACGGTGTCATCCCAAGGGGGCCAAACAGAGGCAAGGTTAATCTGCAGTTTGGCGCAATGGCGTGCGTATTGGCTACGGTCAGGGGAAGCTGTGTTCAGAAGGTGCTGACTGAAGTGTAATTTTATCCACTTCCCACTATGACTTTTATACCACACAAGCGTCTCCTAGCTCCACTGGGGCATGGACGGGGAACACGACACCACAACAATCAGCTCCCCATGTGCAAATGTGGACTGGCCCATATCAAGCACTCAGAGGCCTGGATGTTGTTCTTTTTAAAAATATACACTCATTAAACACTTTATTAGGTGCACTTGTGCAAATGCTCATTAAAGGAAATGTCTAATTAGTCAATCACATGGGATGGCATGTGGTCAAGTTCATGTGTTGAAGTTTAAACCGAGCATCAGAATAGGGAAGAAAGGTTATTTAGGGTGCTTTTACACCTGTGGTTTGGTTCATTTAGTTCAGACCAAGAGCAACAATTGATAGGTTGTAGTATTTTTCTGTGGTTTTGGTTTCTTTTCACACAACAGTGTGCAGTCATGTGACAACATCCATATAACTTGATCAGATATAAACACATTACCTAATTTGCTTTCCGATTGGTCGGAATTAATGTGCAATATTCTTATGGAACACCTAAAAGTAAACAAACAATTTAATGGAAATACAGTGTATTTTAAACAGGCTTTTTGTGTGTACAGTCTCTTTTTAGTTCACTCTAATTAGCGGACATTCTGAAAGAAAAGGTTGCACAAAAAATGAAATAACTATTTGAACTCTGATTATGAAGATGTTGTTTCTTTTTAAAAATCTAAAAATTAAACAAGCAATTCAACGAGGTATTCAATTCCTGATAGAAACATTCTTCTCTTTTTCAAGAACCGATATAATTGAATGCATGTCAGGATAGGGAAGAAAAGACATTAGCCATGCTAACTAATGACTTAAACTGTAAGCACCTGCCTTTTTGAAGATAAGATTAGTAGTAGATTTTAAACCTTCCCCAGACTCGGTTTAGAGCAGTTCAGTTTTCTCCAAACATTGCAACATTCTGTGATTTTTGAATTGTAAAGAGACTCTGGTTCTCAGTGTGTGCTTTGAGAGTCATCAGGTATTGCTCAAGCCCAGTGTTGAATGTGAGCCGAGGGATCCTCCTCCAAGAGGTGCTCTGTGCAGTTGATCTGTGTGTTGTTGTGTGGTAATGAGCATTTAATTTGTTTGTATCAGTCAGTGTGCAGCCGCAGGCAGCAGTGCTGTGAGAATCTCTGGATCATTCATTCCTCATCTGTGTTTGTACAGTGACTCTCACTGAGCTTGTGCTTTATGAAACGAGAAACGAGCACTCCTGCTGAGAGACTCCACAGTGCCCTTTCTTTCTTTCTTTCTTTCTTTCTTTCTTTCTTTCTTTCTTTCTTTCTTTCTTTCTTTCTTTCTTTCTTTCTTTCTTTCTTTCTTATTGCTTTATTACTTTGTTTGTTTGTTTCTTTCTTTCTTTCTTTCTTTCGTTCTTGCTTGCGTTCTGTTTGTCTTTTTTCTTGGTTTCTTGCTTTTTCCTACAGCCATTGTATTTTGACAAATTCTTTGTTCTTTGGTTCTTTTTTTCTTGGCTTTTTTCTTTAGTTAATTCTGGCTATTTATTTTTTATTTAATAAAATCTGAAAATGTTATTTTTGAATGTTTTTTTGCTTTGTCAACCCCGTTTCTTTCATTCTTTGTTTTCCTTGTTCTTTCTTAATCATAATTTTTTATTGCTTTTTATTGTTTGTTCATGCATTCTTTTTCTTGTCCTATTTTTTTCTTGCATTTTATTATTATTATTATTATTAAGTTCTTGCTTTAATTTCTTTGTTTTATTTTTTATTCATCGTTCCTTCATTTGGTTTCCCCCTTTATGTTTTTCCTCACTTTCTTGCTTTATCAGACCTGTTTCTTTTATATTTTCACTTTCTTTCATTTGTTGTTTTCCTCGTTCTTTCTTAATCATTGTTTTTGGCCTGTTTTTTGTTCTTCGTTCATTCAGTCTTTTTTTCTTGGCTTTTATTTGTTAATTCTACCTTTTTTATTAATCAATTCTTGCTTTTTTTCTGCTGTTATTCTGTTTATTTACGTTCTCTATAATTTTTCCTCACATTTTACTTATTCTTTCATTCCTGATTTTTCTTTCACTTCTTTCATTTTCTTGTTCTTTTACATATTGCTTTATTTGTTTGCATCTTTAATTTTTCCTTCTTGCTGGATTCTATTTTTTCTCATTTTTTACTTTATTCTACTTTACTCTTTTTGTTATTGCTCTTTTTCACATTTTTTCCACTTTCTCACTGTTTCTGTCATCACATGTATTTCACACCTCATCCATCATTAGCTCATAGGCTCCTCTAAATGAATCTGACAGCTCTGTTTATTCTTGTCACTCGCGTGGATGCGGACAGGAAACAGGCAGATATATAGGCTGCTCTTTATGATTCATGTGGGTCATTAGAGCTGAAGTTCTGACCGTGACCCCTTCTGGACGTCTGTTACCACTGTGGTCTCATTTAGGGTATCACTTCTGCTCAGCGTGACCTCTTGGCTTGTGATAAATAGAGCTGATGAGATAGGAGTTGGGTTTACATTAGATTATGGGTAACTTGATGTAAGGAGTGCATGGATCACTAGGAGGTGCTAAAGACCCATGTATTACTTTTTTTTAGAAAACATTCAAGCGTTATGTGGGAAACTGCCATCCTCACACACCCACTTAGTCATACGTGTTGACTTTTTGACAATGCATGATTTAGTAGGGCCTAATTTGATACATGAACTATTTTCTCTCTCTTTCCTGCAGGATCTGGTGTTCACATCTACAGGGTCTTTATCCATCTGTCACACTGATGCAGTGATCCATAGCAGACGCTCATCCACTAGAACGCTCAGACAATGCCAACCTACCCAACCACCCAAGTTTTTACTCGCCGTTACACCCAGGGTAAGAAACACATTCTATCAAAAACAAAAAAACATCCTAGTGGACTATCTGCTTGTTAAGTCTGACATCACACATCATAGCCTCTTAGTGCAGTGGTTCTCAAATGGCTCGTTTCCACTGACTGGTACGGTACGGTACGGTTCGGTACGGGTCACCTTTATCAGGCTTGCGTTTCCACTACCAAGGGTACCCTTTTGGTGGGCGTGGTGTATGACAAAGTTTCAGTCGACGTCATTTTCGCTCGAGAAAATGTCTACAATAAAGCTGCACAGGTCGTTCACATATCATATGAAAGCACTTCTCACAAAACAGACGCTTTACACACATAAATACTTGTGTATAAATGTTTATTACGAACTTTTCTATAAACAGGAGTTGATTATAACTGCAGATAAATGACGGTGCGAAATAGCCTACTGTAACATCTATAAATATATTTAATAAATTAACATATATGAACACATACAGACCCTTACAGTCTCCGATATGTTACCAACTACAGAAGAACTACACAAAGCAGACATTTCTTCGTTAATTAGGTTCAAAACAACACAAAGTATAGCCTACAGTCAGTGAAAATCTCTCATCTGTGTCTGTAATCTTCAGCAGCACATGAAGCCTCTGTTAGAGAGTCATTCCATTATTCCCAGTTCATATTAGTCCAAAAGGTGATAATAAAGATTAAAACAAGGCAGTTTGTTCATGTTTGCTGAAGAAATAACGTGCTCCTTGGCTTCGCCTTTTTTCCTGCGCTCCACTCTCGCGTTTGTCCTTTTCTTTCTGAATGTGTCACTCGCGTTTGTCAGCTTCTTACAGGATCGGGTTTCCAAAGCTTGTCAATAATCAAGTGCATGTTATTATTATCAGATCAAGAAGTTTGTTATTTCAGATAGAGACGCGCGGTGAGCGCAAAAAAGAAAGCGAAACCACTCGGGCTTCAGACTGGCTCGTTAAAAACTACGCGGCACAGGGTGAATCTGCTCTTCTCCATGGCTTTGTGGCTGTTTATCATGACGACGACAGGGTTTGTTTGCAGGATCGACCAAGGCTGCATATGTATTTATAGTTCCGCTGTAATCTCTCGCTGTGTATTTTAAACATGGCGGGTCCTTTGTTTACATTCTGGCTTGTTGAGTCTACGAATTACGTATCTCTGTAAACCAATAGCGTTCAGCTGTGCGTGTAGCTCCACCTTTTGGGACCCTTTCTGCAGTTTGGGAAAGGGTCCCGAAAAAGTGGTACGGTACGGTTTGGTTCGGTACGCCTTTTGACAGTGGAAACGGCCATAAAAGCGTACCAAACCAAACCGTATCGTACCAATCAGCGGAAACGGGCCAAAAGTGGGGGTTGGTACCCCCCTGGGGGGGTTGCTTGGGGATTTCCAAAAATCTCATATATGTTATTAATTTATTAAAATTACCATAATTTATCCACAACCTTTGGAAGATAAAATAGTATGTATTAGTTACATAAAAACAACAAGCAAACAAAAAATCATCAGCCTTTGATTTTTTTTCCATTGGATTGCGACCCCTTTGGTTATTTTTAACAACACAGCAATAGGGTTTGTTGCAGCAGATTGATTTTACGGTGCAATGTTCAACTGACACCTATGCGGCACTCGAACATAAAAAGTAAAGCCCACGACTGAACATTAAGGACGATCTCCAAGTTGAGGTCTCCAATATTAAACAAAGATTAGTCTTGTTCTGTTAAAATTGTGCCCATCTGTCTCATTAAATGAGGTTAGTATTAAATTAAATGAACATACTATAAAAATGATATTGTCGTTAGACTGTAAACAATGTTAACCTGTGTTTTTTGTGTTTATGTAGTTCATATTAGTGTTTGTAAGTCGTTGTGTGCAATGTTTGTATGTTTATAACTACCTCCGAGGAGAGCGGTGGTCTTGAGTAACTGGAATTGTTATTTTGGGGGACACAGGCTGAAAAGTTTGGGAAACACTGTCTTGGTGTATATGCTGATTGCCAAGAGCAAACTGTGATTGTGTTGTCTTTTATATTAATTACTATTCTCAGGTGGTCAGACTCACCTTTATCTGTATATTTTAAATTCTGGTGTCTGGGTTGCAACAAGTTTAATTACTGCAGTGAAAGCTAACAACATGATTTTGTAACAAAAAAATGCTTTAGTCTGCTAATAAAGGGCTATTGGTATCTCAATTTAAATGAGTAGAGACCTTTTACAGTCTTTGATTGAGACTTGGACCCAGAAACAGCATTCCATGTCGACTGTATTCCAACAACAAAGATGAAAATCTTTTACTCACCCTTGACTTTTTGTTTTTTTTGTTTTTTTTTTGACAAAAGAAGATATTGAAAACCTGTAACCATTTGCATCTATAGTTTTTGTTATTCCTACTATAAAAGTCAATGGTTACAGGTTTTCGACATTCTTCTGATTATCTTCTTATGTGCTCAAACTGTTATGGAGTAAGTCAAGAGTGATTAAATGATGACAGAATGTTCATTTACATTAGACGTCTTTATTGTCCACACATGTGGAAATTCATCTTTGGCCTCACATAATGCTACTTTACATCATCAAGCATCACAAATGAGTAATTCCAGCGTTATGGATGTGACATTTGCAGTAAAAAAACTCAAAATATAAATACACATAGAAAATATATGCCAATATTATATTGAACCATCTGCTTATATTTTTCAAAACTATTAACCACAGAGTTATGGGAGCAGAAAAATATCTATCTGTAAGCATATTTTAGATTTTAAATAAGGAAAATAAACTTGCGTTATGAATGTGACCAAAAAAGTATGTACGTTTACAGTATACAACATACTTTGTAGAAATTCTGTGAATTAAACTCCACAACCCAAAAGAAACAATGCTAAAAAAGGATAAGATTTGCTTACTATTAAACAAAAATGATTGTTTTTATTTTTATTTGACAGTTTTGTATATATAAGGAAAAAGCTTGGGTATGGATGTGACGTGTCTCTGTTATGGATGTGACAGGTGTAAAAAATTGCCACTTGTGTGACTTTGGTAGATCAAATGTAATTGTTTGAAAACATTGACAGAGACATTTTAGAGTATTTTACATTACTGTGAAATACAATCCTACACAAAAAATACTTAGAAAGGGTTTCACTATTTTGGTCAAACACAAAGCTTCCACACTATGGATTACCAACACACAAACCTGGCTATAAAACCACAAACAGATTAAAAGTGTCACAGAATAACTTATGAACTACTTTATAGTATTCTTTTAGTATAGTAAAAGCAGACAGTATAAAAGTTTTATTGAAAAATATTAGTTTTTTGCTGTGTGAACTCTGTATCGTCTACCAGAAGGAAGCTTTTCAAATTCATAATAAAGAGGGTGAGATCTAGTTTTTATGTGTACTATCCCTTTAAGTGGATATTAACTAGTATAGCTTTCACTCCGTTTGGTGGTTTGAAACATTTCCAGATTTCTATATGGAATAACTCTCTTGTTTTTCCGTATCCAGCAAGTGTTTGGAACAAGTCAGAAACTTATGAGCGTGGTTTGCTATTGAGGGTGGTCAGCTGCGCACAGCGATCTCCTGCTGTCTCAGAAACAAACTTGCTATCAATAATGAAAGACTTTTTCTCTGTGTGGCCCTCACTACAGGCCTGGTTTATTTATCCTCTTTGACCCCCTGACAGATCTTCTGCTCAGCTAATCATGACCCCGGTGGAGAGTAACCAAACAACACAAGCCCACCAGTGAGAAATCAGAGGTCTTGCTTCTCTGGCTGTGAATGCACAGCCCATCAAAAACCACACAGTCATTTGGGATAGTCTCAAGTTATTCTCAAAGATATTGTGAATTCAGAATTTTTGGTTCTGAGGGAATGTGGTAGGCGAGACTTAAATATCGTTTAATGGCTCAAGATCAACATTCCTCAATCAACAAACTCATATTATTAAAACTCACATCATATTATCATTAGTGTTTACTTACTGTGATGGTAAATATATAATTATTTTAATAATATAATAATGACTCTAAGAGTTCAAGTTTTATTTTATTTCTTTCAATGAATTTTATTTGAATGAATTATAATTATTTGTTTTATTTTATACTTACTGTTATTATAATTATTTTATGATCTTGATTTTATGATATTGAATGATCTTGAATGTTTATTTTATTAAAATTCTTATCGTTCATTCATTCATTCATTTTCTTTTCAGCTTAGTCCCTTTATTAATCTGGTGTCACCACAGCGGACTGAACCACTAAGTTATTCAGCATATGTGTTTTACGCAGCTGATGCCCTTCCAGCTGCACTTCCAGCTGCAACCCATCATTGGGAAACACCCATACACACTCATTTACACACATACACTACGGACAATTTAGCTTACTTCAATTCACCTGTAGTAGTGTTTGGACTTGTGGGGAAAACCGGAGCAACCAGAGGTAACCCCTGTAAACATGGGGAGAACATGCAAACTCCACACAGAAACGCCAACTGACCCAGCTGGGGATCGAACCAGCGATATTCTTGCTGTGAGACGATTGTGCTACCCACTGTGCCACCGTGACGCCCAATTCTTTTCATTATTATTTAAAAGTCGAATGATTAATATTATTTTTGCATTACATTTGATATAATTCTTATTTATTCTTACGGTCTATGATTTAATTTACCTTTTTTATTCGTTTGAGTATTTTCTTCCTTTTAAAATGATTTTTCCCTTTTTAAAAACTTTTTTCCAAACCATAAACCACACTTTAAAGTAGAAAAGATTATTTTACATACTATTCAATGAAAAATTCAAGCCCTTAATCCTAACCGTAACCCGAAACCTCATTCAAAAATCTGAAATCAGGCAGACAGAAATGTTGTTCCAGTTCCAGACAAATTTGTTGATCCAGCAAAACTTCCTACGTAAGCTAGTCAAGATGTTAATCTTTTATATGTGCCCATTTTGATTTTACTGAAACATATCTGCTCTGTTAATGGTTCAATCATGTTCAAGGAACCGTTTCTTTTTTTTCTCTCTCTCCAACGTCTGCTGTTAGCTTGGCTAATGCGAGTCGATCTCTGTGTTATCCCACGATTTGGGATCGTGTCTGGCCTCATGGCCTTGCTGTGAGAATTGGCACAGCATTGGCACCGGCCTCTAGGCAGCAGGGGCATATGGGCACTGTGGGAAAGTGATAAGATAGATTAGTCGCCTTTTTTCTCTTTATTCATGAGGGACTCTTGACCCTGTTGGCTTTTTATGGCCACATCTGCGTGTTCGCGCTCCCATTGGTCAGCTGTTCGCTACAAAACTGGAAGCCCAGCCAAAGCTGAGCTGTTTTTCATCAGAGATAAGAATGAAAGGAAGATAATATCATCCGCTTGTCAGCACGCCATAAAATTGTCCATAATGCTGAAAGAGGGATAATGCAAGAGGTAGAGGGAGAGGAAAAAAAAGAAACATGCAGTGGAAGGGATTGTGAGTGGTGTGAATCACTACAGGAAATGGTCATCTGTTACTCAAAGGCCTGTTAGCGCTGTTAGCACCGCTGACCTCTGCCACGCTTTCCTGCCAGAGCGGCGGGGTTCGGACAAAATGTCAGAAAGACAGGGTTGTGTGTGTGTGTGCGCACGTTCGGCAACTGGAAATGATTCTTCTCTTCCTAGAGGTGCAATTTGTTTGGCGTTTCTTAGCAACAGAAAGAGTGGACAGGGAAATAGATGTCAATTATCTGGAGGATTGACAATTTAATATTGTAAACAGCCTCTGAGGTGTTGAATAATGGCTTTTCTTATTCCCTAGGTGACTTCAGTACCCCTGGAACGCTACTGTGCAGATCGCAGCGCCGAGTATGAATGGAGGTTAATGCGTGACGGGGGGAGTCTCATTGCTAAGCAGTGCTTCCTGTACGGATCCCCCGAGCTGGCATGTGCTTGGGCTCAACGCTCTCAGTCTTTCCTCCCACCAAACCCAGGGGGCGTCATGGCCCTGCAGCAGAGGCACGGCTGGTCCTTTATAAGGATTCCAGGTGGGTGAATTCCTGGGTGGGAGCTAGCGTGCGTTTGTGTTTGTTTATGCTTGCCCGTGTGTAAATGTGGTGGAGAGGTACTTGATTTTTTCCAAGACGTTTGTATCCGGGTATTGTCCTTGAAAAGACATTTTTACTTAAGACAAAGCACTTTCTCACGTTCATTGGTTTGTTCATATGAGTCTCGAATGTCTCCAAGGGAAGTCTCGATTTGATTAAAATTTATAATGCCATGAATGGCGACAACTCCCTCTCTTAATGTGTGGGCACATAATGATGGGTACACACCACATTATTTCAGGCTCCATTTCATTGTTTGGCAGTTTACATTTATGCTTTTATTCAAAGTGACTTACAGATGAGATGAGGAACAAAGCAATTCATCAAAGAGCCAACATTGATTGTAGTACACAATGCCAGGTTCATTAGACATAGATTAGAAAACCAGAGAAAAATGGAAAGAATACATTATGGGGACAAAAGGTCACCTTGAGTACAGCGATACCTGTCATTTGTGACTTTGTATGGATATTTTTTTAAGTCCAGTAAGGAAAACAGTTTATAAACCATATAGAATGATTTTTTATTAATCTAAATATATGCAGAAACTTTTCTGTGATAGTTGGTTTCTATGATGATTTATGGATAGATTGTATTGGATAAAACAATTATTATTTATAAATTGTGACTTTGGAAAATCCCCATAAATCCTGTGTGTTTGTGTATGTACATGAAATTTCCTACATTAATGTGATAAATTATCCCTACAAGTGTTTTTTTGTCATATTTTTTTGACATTGCAAGTCAATCGTTTGGTTCCCATGAGGAAAACAGCTTCTGGGTTGTACAGTATGAAATATTTAGAAAAAGTAAAAATGTTTTTTGAGAGGGCTGTGTTCAGGGGCAAAGTCGGGGTAAGGGGACAGAATATACAGAACAATCATTACACCGACTGTATGCAAGGTCCCCATAAAACATGACAGCTCGCCTGTGCAAGGACATATGTTTGAAGTGTGTAGTGTGGTTAAGAACTTGTGGAAGAGTTATATCTTTAGCTGCTTCTTGAAAGATGGGATGGTCTCTAGGGCTGTGCGATTAATTGAAATCGAATCGCAATTTGAAAAGTTGAGCACACTTTTGTTATGCCCAATCAGAATTGCACAACCAAACTACGCCCACAATAAAAAAAGAAAACAAGCAGGAAATCGCTGACAAGTGGGGTTATGGCGTCTGCTGCTTCAAAAGCATTAATAGACAAATTAATCTCAAAGAAAAACAGCTTTTGTAATATGGGGATAATTTGGTTTCAAAGTCACAGACATCGAACAAAAAAGCTGCCCCAGAACTGTTGCCACGGCTTATAAATAATTGAGCTGCATCTTGACTACAAGATTAAATCGTATATCAAATTGCAATCACAATATCTGTCAAAAAAATCTCAATTAGATCCCTAAATAGATTTCCCTAAAACGCACATCCACGTTTGCAGCTCATTCCACCAGAGAGGTACAGAGAGGGTGAGGGTTTTGGAGATTGTTGTTCCCTCACAATGAGGCAAAAAGTCAATGCTTCACTCATACAGTGAGTTTTCAGATGAAGTGCAGATGAAAGTGTAATATATGTAAGACTAAATATGTTAACCTGTTTGCAATTTTGAGTTGTATGCTGTGAAATGTGTTTAGCTTGGAAATGACTACTGCAATTCCCTGTAGGCAATGAGAGACCTAGACATTCGTCTCTCAATTTCTGAAACCCTATCTTAGGATTTTGCTCTCTTTTCATAACAACTTATGTAATTTGTAGATGCTCTGTGTGTGAAAACAAATTCTAGTGAATGTACAAACTCATGTTCTGTAGACTACAAATATGGGAAAACATGCAATCGAAAATAATTTTAGTTGTGTTTTGGTTCAGTATTTTGTATTATTAATTTTGTATTTTGAACTTCTTTTTTGTGCACTTTTTCACAGCACGCCCATAACAATCTGTTTGGTTTGGTCAGTAAGTGGAGTATTTTTCTCTTGCTGTTCAAACTCATTCAAACGCATGAGCATTCACTATGCAGTTAATCCTATCAAATCAAATTTTGACTAACTTTGACAAATGTATCTTTTTTTTCAACTACTAGAAAAGAAGAAGTTTTAAATGTTTAGGCCGTGTGATTGTGTTGATAAAAACAACAGGTCTAATTGGGGACCAAAATCATGTAGTACAATCTGAAAAATGATCTGCAACTTTAAAAAATGATGTAGCATATGGTCAACATTAATCAAATTGCTCAAATGAAGGTCCTTTGTATATGTTCAATAGTGAACGCGATGTATGGACAGAAGTCTCAACCAAACTAGTATTTTTTTATGTTGGTGAATGTGAAAAAATAGCTTGACTGACTTGTACACAAACAGAAATGTTGAAAATACTGGACTTTGCCAGGCATCATAAAACGTGACCTCACCTTTAGACCAAACACAAACCAGAAAACTCCAGCTCTAGCTTCTTGTGGCACGACTTTAGTCCCCAAGGAACCCCATGGTACCGCTGTGTTTTGGGGCCAAAGTGCATTTCAATCAAAGAGAACTCACAGAGTGCCTAAAAAAAAGACTGAGGCCCATGGGAGAGTGTCAGAGGTCACAGAAGAGGCCGTGTCTGGGGGCCCATGCACCTCTTAGTCACTGTCGCTCTTTTGGCACCATTATACAGACGTTCATCACATTAGGCATGGCAGTGCGATAAGAGCAGGCGATACTTATTTTTGCAGATAAGATAATTTTTTTTTTGCGCAAGGTTTGTGTTTGTGTGCGCGTTCCAGTGTAATTGCTGGGATCAGACTGGGAAACAGAAAGAAAAGAGGTCTGGGAGCGCTTGTGAAGTTGGGAGGGGGGACAAAGCAAGGAAGTTGGACTATTGGACATTGTTTCTGCACCGCATTAGGTAAGCGCTTTGAATGTGCATGTGTCTGTGTGTGTGTGTGTATCGCTCTGAATGTTCATTCACAGGCTTGAGGTGTTTCAGAGCGCACTTCTCCCATTTTCTCAGAGTCATTCTGTACCCAGGGAAGGAAATGACACAAGACTGGGTAACAGTCATTGAAGTTTGTTGGCGCTCCCACCACTGCCTATTGGAGCTAAAGGCCTGCATCTCCTTATAGAGGCTGCCGGAGTGTTTTTGAGCAATACTGAATACTGTGATGAAGGATTTCTAGATATAGAGTTACTCGTGAAATGCTTGCAAAATGATACAACAGCAACATTACTTTTTTATTTGTGTTGTGGAGGATATATTACCGTGCTTATGTTAAAATAATTATATAACTATCTTTGTAAATCTGTATCTTAAAGAGCACCTATAATGAAAATCAACTTTTGTAAGCTGTTTGGTTGTTTTACATCTTGCAAAATGGGTAAAATAGGAGCCCTTTAAGATGAAAATTGAAATATATTAAATTATCAGCATTATATAAACAAAATAGTCACATTTTTGAAAAGTCAAGCAGAAAATAAAGTATTTTTAAAACTAGCATGTCATCCATTTAATATATACACACTGTAAAACCCAGGTAAGGTAACTCAAACCGTTTGAGGAAGCCGATTGCAACAAAAGATTTAAGTTCAAAAACTAATCTTAAGGAGTACTGTGAACTTAATCCATTTGAGTAAATGAAGCCATTTGAGCACAGTAAAACCCAATAAATGAAGAGAACTCAAACCTACTGAGTACTGTAAAACCCAATAAGTTAAGGCATCTCAAACCATTTGAGGAAACCGATTGCTACAAACCATTTAAGTTAAAAAATAACCTATCTGAGTACTGTGAACTTTACTCCATATAAGTTGAAGTAATGAGATATTTAATTAACTCGTTACCTTTTAGTTTAAAACTCTTTTCAAATTAGTAGTATTAACTTTCAGTGAATTTTGAGTTAACTACACTCATTTTATTTGATAAAGTTGACTGTTGGGTTTTACAGTGCAGGGGTTTTCAAATTAATAAATCCCACTGACCTCTGCAATTCCCCCAAGAGAGACCACAATGCAAGAAACATCTTGTTTTATTTACAAATATGTAATTTATTTTACAAAATGTTTAATAATATCCAGAAATAGGAAACAAACATAATCTAATATATTATTTAGAAAATTATTTTCTTTCTTTTAAGTTAGGTTATTTTTTTAGTTAGCTTATTAAAATAGCATTATAATAAGTAAATTTATTTACAATTTATTTTAGTGTATTTTATATTTTTTATTTGATATTATGCATCTATGAATGTAACCATTTGCATTTTTTTTATTAAATTTTGAATAATAAATGCTTTGTCCTACATTAATCAGGCCCTTTGGAACTAGTTTGAAACTCCTAGTAACAAAGCATGGCAATATTAAAAGGATGTTTATTTACATCTTTAGAGATAGCAAACGCATTTAACCCTCAAACGAAAAAAGGACATTGTTATCGGTCCTTCTCATAAACATTTACTGTGTTTTTCCATCATCGCTCAAATATAGTCATGTGGCAAGATTCAACTCAACTTAGAATTCTGACACCATCAACACAGCTGTCCATCCTGTGCTTGTGTTGCTCCTGTACTGTTTCTTTCCCATTATTTGGAAGGCAGGCCACAAAAGGACAGACTCTGTCCTACAATAGCTCTGCACATTGTTTTAATGCGACTGCTGCTTTGAGCTGTTGTTTTGTGGGCGAGAGAGAGAGTGAGAATATGCTGCAGAGCTGTGCTCACAGACAGCCTGTGGGAAACTCAGCTTTCCCTTCCTGTTCTTTCAAAGAATCTCTGCACTCCAGCAAAATGGCCGGAAATATTCCTGGCCTTTTTGATTTGGGGCCCAAACAACAGTGACTGCATAATTGTTTGTGATCTACTCCCTCGTCCCGCCTCTCTGCCTGTGAAAAACAGCCAGCTTTCAGCAAGGTGTTTGGGAAGATTATCCTTCGATCAGACGTCTTGTCTTCTCTTTGATCAAGGTTTTTAGGCAAAATGCTGT